TTTCTCCTAAAGGAAGGAGCTAATGTTAATGCCAAGACAAAGGTAAATAGTTTTTTTCCTTTTCCTGTTTCTTTGCGAACATATGTTGTTGTTTTTATACAAATATTGTTTGTATCTGTAAACAAGAAGAAGGTATCTAAAGAAAAAATACTTCTGTGACTCACAATAATTAATTGCTTGAACTTTAAAACAGTGATTATAAAGCAAAGTTCAGGCAGATTAGCGATGCACATATGAACATGAAAAATTACACATATGAAAACATATGTGCATTTCAAGACATGCATTCCACGAAATGTTTTTATTTCTTGGAAAATGAAAGCAGAGGAAAATGTATGCTGTAGTATGAAATTTCTCAAATATCGTATGTTGAGGATCTAATAATGATGAAAGATAGGTGTTGAGCATTTTTTATTTCAGAAGCTTCACCCACCATGGATAGTGATATGATATTGTGTATTGTGAAACTGAAAGAAAAAAAAACTTTGTTTTAGATGTAGATATATTTTAGAATTCCATATTCCAATAGCAACTTGACCATTATAGTACATAGAATCTAAATGTAACAATTTAACTATTACGTAAAGTGGATTACTTCTGGTGATAAAACGAGCATAAATCTTTGAGAATGTAATTAGAAATTAACATCATCATTATTTTTTCTGTAGTAAGTAATACTTACTTGCTATTGATATATTATAATTTGAGGAAGAGGCATTCAAAGTCAATTTAATGTATAAAAATAAAATTTATTAAAAAATGACAAATGCTACCAATAAAATAATGAGTGGGCTCCTTCTCTCTCTCTCTCTCTCTTTCTAGTAATACTAATGATTGTATTAAAGCTAGGAGAAAAAAATGTAAATATATGTTTAAAATGTTTTTGTTTCTTTTCAAAATGTGGTAACTACCACTAATTACAGAATGGATACACACCTCTTCATCAAGCTGCTCAGCAAGGTCACACACACATTATCAATGTTCTCCTCCAGCATGGGGCCAAACCAAATGCAACCACTGCGGTAAGTTTAGAAAGTATCAAGAGTTTGTCCACCTATTAAGTCCACCTAACAATAACATTCCTTTTTAGCTGCAATACATTTTGACTCTGTTTTTCTTAGAAAACTACAGTTAGTCACAAAGTTACAATTTTAAGTTTAACTCCTGCCATATGTATATAATTGGATTTTGAGGGAAAATGGCTTGTGAAAACAAGGATTGATTATAGAGATTCAGTGAATAAATACCACTTTTCCCCATGACAACTCTTTCAGGAGTGAATTTCCCTTCTTGGGAGTAGTTTTCTCTTGCTTCCTCTTTTCTCATCCTTGTTTGTCACTATGAATACTTTGTAAGTTGAATGATTGTAACTCTGGGACTGCCTTATTTTAATTCAGCTGCTGGTATCAGATATGTGGGTGCAACAATTGTGAACATCCATATTAAGATGCACAATTCTTTCGATTTGTGGTGTGTTTTCCTTAACATGGTACCTGCTGGTGACACAGCGAGTTAAACTGCTGAGCTGATGAACTTGCTGACCAAAAGGTTGGCAGTTCAAATCTGGGAAGCGGGGTGAGCTCCTGCTGTTAGGCCCACCTTCTGCAAACCTAGCAGTTCGAAAACATGCAAATGTGAGTAGATCAATAGGTACCTCTTCTGTGGGAAGGTAACAGTGCTCCATGTAATCATTTTGGCCACATGACCTTGGAGGTGTCTATGGACAATGCTGGCTCTTTGGTTTAGAAAAGGAGTTTACCACCCCCCAGAGTTGGAAACAACTAGATTTACTATCAGGGAAATGTGAGTAGATCACATTTCCCGCTTTGTCATTCCTGGAAGATCATAAGGAAAGAATAATGCCTAATTTATGATACAAGCTTAGTGGCCAACTTGTTTTTTTTCCCAGTAATTGACATCTAAGGTATCGGTTTTTCAGAGCATGGATATCCATACAGCAGTACTGACAGCAAAGTCTGGCTGAAGCATATAATCCATGAAATTTAATGCCATATTATATGACCAAAGTGATGGTTAGTAGAATAAGAATTATATCACAACTATAGTCCTAATTCAGGTGCTTCTGTAGACCTCAGTACTTAGGGTGAAGCCAAGCTTGAGGAGAGAGGGGAAAGGAGGATAGAATATAACTATTTGAGATGGCAGCCTGTGGAGATAAAGAAAATTGAGCACACAGTGGTTGGACTGCTGTCCTAAAAAAGGTGAAAACCAAGAGGGTTGGAAAAGAGTGAGCATTCAGGACTTTATCTGAGTAAATCTCCCATGTGATAGAATCCATTTTTGAGACTTGGACTCAAAGAATTTTGTTCATTACACAGAATTGATGTGTTTAATTTGCTGTGTTATTGACTCAGTCTCTGTCTGTGTAGCCTTACCAGAGATATAATGAAAAAGAGGCCTGACTTCAGAGACATTTTCTATGGAATTGTAAAACATCCTACTTTCACTGTTATTTCTTTTTCTTTTTCTGCTGAGTGCTTTGAAAGAGTAGCAAAAGTTCTAACCTGCTTAGAAGGAGTGTGACACTACTCACATTGATTTCGTTTGCCCTCAGGCAATCCATTGGAGGCTAGATCTTACTTCATCCTCTTTGCTGAGTGAACCTTGGTTGATTGCAATTACTCAAGTAGTTGTTCCAAAATACTTTGTCTCCAATGACAAGCAGAGGCAAATCTGGTTAGATCTATGGCATTATCCTGTTCCCTATGTGAGGGGCAGGAAACTTACATGGGGGGCGGGGAATAGATGCCAAATTTGGCATTGCAAGTTCGTAATGCAGTACATAGACACAATTCCATCAACACAGAGGGAATAACTGAAAGTACTGTATTAAAAAGTGGTTTTTGTGCTTGAAATTGCCTGAAAAACCCACCCACCCTATTCTGGATGCTTTTATTAGTGTCACAAAAAAACTTTTGGGATGATACCTGGTACACAGGATACACATTCCTCACCATATCCCTAAGTGAAATCCAATAGATTTTAACCATTCAAAGAATGTCAAGAAAACTTGTGGTGCTGATCCAGGATACGAGATGGGGGGAAAAGGCAGCTAACAGAATCCAAAGCTGAACTTTTCAATACTTGGGGCTCTTAAGAGGTCTTTGATGTCTGTATAGAAAATAGTACTGGAAAATTGAAAATTGAAAGGGAGTACTATTTGGTATAACCCCAAAATTTTCCTTACTTACAAAAAGAAAGAAAGAAAATAAAAATAAAAAGACAGAATATAGGAGTAACTGATTACATTTTTGCCTGTAACTCATTGCATCTTTTGGTAATGGTGGCATCTTTCAAATCTAACATGAATGCAAAGGATATTATTTTTGATATGTATTGTTGTTGTTCATTCGTTCAGTCATTTCTGACTCTTCATGACCTCATGGACCAGCCCACGCCAGAGCTCCCTGTTGGCCGTTGCCACCCCCAGCTCTTTCAAGTCATCAGTCACTTCAAGGATACCATCTATCCATCTTGCCCTTGGTCGGCCCCTCTTTCTTTATCTTTCCATTTTCCCCAGCATCATTGTCTTCTATAAGCTTTCCTGTCTTCTCATTATGTGACCAAAGTACTTCATCTTTGCCTCTAATATCCTTCCCTCCAGTGAGCAGTTGGGCTTTATTTTTGATACGTATATTGAGTAATATTTTTAAGTTAGTTTTGAGCAGAATTTTCCCCCAAGTCTTAGGTAGGGCTCAAAGGGTGTCTTTTGAGTCCCCAAAGGGCCCTTACCATGTACCTCCTTTTTTGTAAACTTCCTTTGAGGGTTATTTAGCAAAATGCCTCTATATACTATTAGGAATTGTGGGGCAATTTGTCTCTCTCGCTCTCATCCCCCTCCCCTCCAATCCTGGTCTTTTTAGGCCAGGGGAAGCCTTTTGAAAAACATTACAAGCCAAGAACAAAGATCTAAAACAGCTTAGAAACTAAGCAAGGACATGCCAACATTGTCTCTATTGTTTCTATAGAGTAAGTGTGACTTGTTTAATGAAATAAAATTGCATTTAATTTCAGGTGAAAGTTATATGTGGCCTCTAGATCTTGCACATTCCTGGCATAAATTACCAACAATTAAATACATTAAAAGTGCATTTTCAAAATTCAGCAGGAGCCTCATCAGGGTAGCCAGCTTTTATATAGAAGGTAGTACACTAAACTATTAAAAGCAGTGAGGTTTTTTCCTTCTTGTGTGTAACAGGCAGATGTCCTGAGTGTTTTGTTTCCATGGCAATTGGGACTACAGTTTGGGGAAAGTTGCAAAGATTTAATAGTGAAACACAATGATTTTCCTAAGCGAATGCGTTGTTTTTGGATGGAAATGCTGGCTCATTCAGTGCAGGGTGTGATCTCATTGGTTTATATCACAATCCTCCCTCTCATTCTCCTCCTCTCCTTCTTTTCTTCTTTCAGAATGGTAATACTGCCTTAGCAATTGCAAAGCGTCTGGGATACATCTCTGTAGTCGATACATTAAAGGTTGTAACAGAGGAAGTAGTTACCACTACAACTGTGAGTACTAGTAGCCTTATATCCCATTTTGTTTTAATCTGAGTTATTTCTATTTTTTTCCCTTTTTCTCTACCTCTCTCTTAAAGATGATTTGGATTATTTTATAGGTCTCATTTAATTCCAGAAAATATAATTTAGTTTTTGTAGATAGTACTATGGACACTTCCACTAATGGAAAACTATGTTTACACATACCATATAACAGTTTCAAATACATTGTGTAAGGATTTTTGTTTTGTTTTCATTGTACCCCCAAACATTTCCAACTAAATTTCATGTTAAATCTGCATTCTGTCTTCCAAGATATTGGCTATCACATATTTTCTATCATTTATGATTCTGCAACTGAAGTTGCAGATCATAAAGCAGGAGTGAGGAACCTATAGTCATCCAGCTATTGCTGCACTGCAATTCCCAGCAACCATAGCCAGCTTGGTCAATAGTGATGCATCCTGGGAGTAGTAATTTATCAACATTTGAACTCAACAGGTTCCTTATCTCTACTGTAAACAAATACAGTAGAGATAAGTCTTATCCCAAATGCTACCTATATTATTTTATGAAGTTTCTTTTGTAACTTCTTTCAGAGGATGTATCTGTTTTTATATTGGTTTTATTTTCATTGTTCATCTGTGTTTTTACAAGAAAGGGATTGGAAACATTTAGCTCATTGAATGCATTTAATCTGTCTCTGTGAGCTTTGAATGCTGATACTGTCTGGCCTTTTTATTAATAAACACTTTCTGTGATACGAAAGAAAAACCATGTAAGTTCAAAGCACACACAATGCAAAATTCCAAATCAGAATTGCTAGGTTTTTTTTTTAAAAAAAAAATTGCATTTAATAATATAGTTTTCATTCCTCTTGCCTCTACTGGAAGACTACTTCTTGATTGAGGACTTGTAGCATTACCTATTTCGTCTTTTCCTCCTTGACATATTATTTATAATAAGAAAAAAGATGTAAAATAGAGATGCAGTGGGAAGATCCAGAAGAGGTAGAAATGGAAAACATTGAAAATTGATGCCCTGAAAAATTCAATTTGAAGCGGAGTGATTGAAGGGTAGAAATCTTGGTGGAAATACCCCAACAGAGCAAACTGAAGTCTCTCATCCAAAGACAAGTGATATTTCAAACTAAAATATGTCATTTTTATATTGGATGCCAGCATGATTCACAGATCTGGCAGGAATGTGAACATTGGTATTTATAGAAAAGTAACAAACCATAAATTAGGAAGAGTTCTATTTTGAGCTTCAGGGACGTCTCCTAAAGATGGAGTCCCCGGTGGCACAGTAGGTTAAATACTTGTGCTAGCAGGCCTGAAGACCAACAAGTTGGAGGTTTGAATCCGGGAGAGTGTAGATGAGCTCCTTATGTCAGTTCCGTCTCCCCATGTGGGGACATGAGAGAAGCTTCCCACAAGGATGGTAAAACATCAAAACATCCGGGCATCCCCTGGGCAATATCCTTGCAGATGGCCAGTTCTCTCACACCAGAAGCGACTTGCAGTGTCTGAAGTTGCTCCTGATACACACAAAATCTTCTAAAGAAAAATATTTGGTTCACCCTTGAAACATGTTAGAAGTAGTAACTCTTGTCTTGAATTATTGTTGGGGTTGTCATCCACTCGTCTAAAGCAGTGGTTCTCAACTTATGGTCCCCAGATGTTTTTGGCCTACAACTCCCAGAAATCCCAGCCAGTTTACCAGCTGTTAGGATTTCTGGGAGTTGAAGGCCAAAAACATCTGAGGACCCCAGATTGAGAACCACTGCTCTAAAGGCTGAACTGAATTATCCCGTAAGAAATTTAAACAAAAGTTTGCTTCTTCAACTATAGATGGTTTGTACATTTGTACTACTCAAACTAATCAACCAATCTAATAATTCTCAAAACCTGCAGTCAATATGTTTTTCTCTTTTCTCTACAAAAATGAATGAATAAGCATCCTTCAAAAAGATGCTTAATGACTTTGCTTTAATCAATGTTGTTAACTTGTCGTTTTCAGCTAAGTTTCAACAGCAATTCTTCATACGTTGCTGTAACTGTATTCATCCACTTATGCACATACAGTAGTCTTTACTCAGCTCCCTTAGGCAATGTTATTTACAAGTGGAAAATGATCTTATTGTTGTTATTTATTAAATCATTGTAAGGTGGAAACCCTTGCCAGTAAAGTACAAATTACCTGGATCCACGCCAGCCCATTTCAATCTGCTTTGTACTTATTCATATTCTAGTCCATTCTTGCTTTTGTGTGACTTCAAAGAGGTTCTGGCTAAAATTGACCTAAACTGACACTCAGTTGTTTTTGTTTTGAAATATTTGTTCATTTGCTCACAGATTTCTTACTCTATTTTACTTTCTCTTAATGTTTCTTTTAGTTTTAAATGACAAGTCCACACCATTAGTTTTATGTAGAAACATACCCATAACTCATTATTCAAAATTGTACAGAAGACACCCAAATTCTATGTCCTTTCATGCTTCCTTATCTTATTTTCTTTTCTATAACCTAATTAGTCTGTTTATCCATGTAAGTAACATGTGTAAATGTATATGCTTACATAAGAATATGGAATTATTCTAATTACTTAATCATTTTAACAAACTGTTGACAAAATATTTGTAAAGTATGTAAATCCAATGCAGTTAATATTGTAGATATAGAATTATCAGATGTTCTTCTCATTCAACATATTTTTTTCAGTTTACATTTTTTGCATTGTTGAAAGTGTTTTACAACTTTAATCATTTCCAGATGCTCCCTAAAACTTAAAGCTTTTTTTTGAGACATTACCTAATTTATTTTAAAACCTAGCCTGCAACCAAAAATTGGAGTTGTTTTGAATTTTTCACCAGTCAACAAATATGCTAGAGATATTTAAAAACTACAAACAGTTGTTAAAACAAACTGCTGCTTTTCACAGCATGTATCCATTTTTATTAAACCAATTATTAAAAACAACATATTCTATGCAGAAAATAATAAATCTGAGAACTGGAGAATATACACATATTTACTCAAATCTAATGCACCGTCGAATCTGATGTGCTCCTCAATTTTCAAAACCCTGAAACCAAAACCAGTATTTGCTAGCAAATGTAATGCACAGCAGCAAAACATGCACTCTTTGTAATTTACAATAGCAAAGCTTCCAGCAATTGAAAAGAAAACTTTGGGATGCATTTATGCTGTAGAATGAATCCACTTTAATTAACTTGGTTCAGTGCTATGGAACAATGCAAACTGCAGTTTCACAAGGTCTTGAGCCTTCTCTGCCAAAGCATGCTGAAGCATCAACAAACTACAAATCCCATGATTTAATAGCATTCAGCCATGGCCATTAAATTAGAGATGGCATTCCTCAAATAGGAGCTTCAGGTGTACCTGAAGCAGCTTTTGCTTTGATTCAGCACTAAGATTATTGTATGATGTGAATTTAATGCATACTGTAATGTTGGCAAAGTAATTAAAACAAAAAGGTGAGCATTAGATTTGTGTAAATAAGGTAGTTGAAATTTAGGTGTATCTTATTGATTCTTCAACCAAATTAATCTATTGATTGATTTCTTTTCTTCCCCTTTTTTTGCAGACTGTAACTGAGAAACACAAACTCAATGTACCAGAAACTATGAGTGAAGTCTTAGATGTTTCTGATGAGGAGGGTAAGCTTTCCATGGTTCACATAAGGCCATAGATTGATGCAGTTAGGTTCAGCACTATTCCTAGAAGTTATCAGTTGTTCTTAGTGATTCCACAAAGTGGAAAGTGTAATTTTAACAGATAATTTATTTGAAAATACACCGGATTCATATTTTAAAGGAACATGCACAAATGTTTTCAGCTTAAAGTAATTATAACCTGATGTTTTTAAAACATACAAAACTTCAATTGGCTTTCTACATGAACATTCCACATTTCTACCTCTATCACATTTTTACCTCAATGAAGGAAAACTTCATATTATTGTGGTGTAGAACCAAAAAAATGTTTTTTTTAATTTAATGGATTCAGTGTTAAATACAGAGTGCCCTAAGCATTTCTGAAGTCTAGCTTTCCCATTAAAACAGCTTTCAAAAGATACTACAGACACTATCTGTCTGTAATGCAGTTATTTCAGGTGGAGTATATTTTTCCTTTTTAGACAATGGCTAGGAACCTGCTTCTGTGTGAAGCTTTCATTCTTACTGTAGAGCAAGAACAGATATTCAGTCTTTCCATTTAAGCAACTCAGTTTCCCACTCTCCCCTAAGGGCCTTTCAGGGCGGTATGTGTGAATGGCTGACATAACATGGCATTCATCTGCAAACACTTAACTGCCAATTATTTTGGTCTTAGACAGCATGACTGGTGAAAGAAGCCATATCATAGTCTAAACTGCTGAAGTGAATGGTAGCTATGGTTACAAACTCTCTCTAGGCAAAGTTCATGTGAAGAATGAATCTATAAATCTCTCCATGCTTTAGCTTTGGTTGTCTTTCTTTCTGTGAATGGTTTTCATTTGATGGCAAGGCAGGGAGTGTTGGATAAAATACCTTAAGAACTGGGTCATCTTTGTCCTATAAAGAGGTTTTCATTTGTGTCATGGTTAACAGTTGAATAGTTGTTTCATTTCTTTTTAAAGTAATCTGAAATACTCTTTTTACTAATAACACTCCTTACCATTAAATTAGCTAAATATCAGCCTCCATGCTTGACTATATCTATTTGAAGGGCTATTTCAGCATAGTTGAAGACCATTTCACTAAAAAAAAAAAACCCAACCAATCATGCCGACCTCAATATGGTGACATTCTTTTTTGTATTCCGGTATTTTTTTAGCTTCTATGTCTTCATGGAATGCTTCTATGAACATTTCTTAATGTAATCGCACTGCTCTCATTCTGCCTTTTGTTACATATTAATGAAATTCACATATTTCACATAGTGTCATTAAAAACTCAAAAATCATTTTTAAAAACATGTGCATATACAATCTTTGAGTTTCTTCCAGAAACTAGCTGTGTCTAACCAATTCTCTGTGGAAAAGAACAACAATGAAACTAGTCCAGTGATTGATATCAACAATGACAAAAGTGAAAGGATTGGTTTTATTCTTCTTAACATTGCAGTGTTTTTCATGTTTATTAACAGTTTGTATGTTGTACTTCAAGAATGACATTAGTTCCTATTTTGCTTGAGCTCTTGGAATGAAGTATCTAATAAATTGCTTCAAGAACAGTGGTTAGGTTAGTACAGTAAAATCTTGCTTATCCAACATAAATGGGCTGGCAGAACATTGGATAAGTGAAAATATTGGATAAGGAGGGATTTAAGAAAAGCTTATTAAACATCAAATTATGCTATGATTTTACAAAGTAAGCACCAAAACATCATGTTTTACAACAAATCAACAGAAAAAGCAGTTCAATACATGGTAACATTATATAGTAATTACTGTATAAATTTAGCAAAATATTGCAATGTATTGAAACAGCTGTGGATCCAGGCGGAAGGCAGACTGCATTGGATAATACAGAACATTGGATGAGTGAAGGTTGGATAAGTGAGGCTGTACTGTAATTAACTATGTGAATTTGTGTTTGTTTTTACTTAAGGTGATGATACCATGACCGGAGATGGGGGTGAATATCTTAGACCAGAAGACTTGAAAGAACTAGGTGATGACTCGTTACCTAGCAGCCAGTTCTTAGATGGTATGAATTACCTGAGGTACAGCCTGGAAGGAGGTCGATCTGACAGGTACTAAATGTATATATTTTCCCCTTAATCTGTATATTTTTCGGAATAGGAACCTAGTGTGTGGATGGATTTTAGTTACTTCCTAGTCCACAGAGGGTAGCCTTATGTTTTATTTGACACAGGCTAATAGATCCATATTTATTTATTTATTTATTTATTTAATGCATTTATTGACCGCCGCTCTCAGCCCTAGGGCGACTCGCGGCGGTGCACAACATATAAAAACAGTTTACAAAAAGGGCAAAACAGGGAATCAATACAACAATAATACACTATAATCTGGTTACACTAAATAATCCGCTCCGTCACATCATAGAATAGATCCATACGAGTATATATCCTGTGGAGAACATTGAAGTGTCCAGTATCAAAGTCCTCTCCACTATACTTTATTTTGCTCCAAGTGTTGAACCGTGTCACCATTGTTCATAGGTTTGATTCAAGAAAGCAGGTTGTTAAATTTATCTTCAGGGATATAAATCTTTGCTTGTCTTCATCCTGCTAATGAGGAATTGCAAACATTTCACTCTTGCCTATGAAACAGCATGATATTCTCTATCCCAAAGAAGTTTTGTTTTTGCAAGAATGATTTCTGTGCAAATTGCACAAATTGCAAAGTTAAATTACAATAGCTGCTGCCTTATTACATAAATTTCTAAAATTCTGAAGCATCGTAAGTGTTGTTTGGATATTTTCAGTCTATAAGCCAATCATTTTGTCCTTTCTGTGGTTCTTGACTTTCTTTCAAAAAGAGAAGACATTAGCATTAATTGTGGAAAGCTCATCAAAATAAAGGTTACTTTCCTTGTCCTAATACTAGGGGTGAGAAATCTTGCTGGGGTTAATGAACTACAATAACCTGTCTCAAGCTTTTAAGAAAACATGTCTTGTTGAGAATAAGAAAGAGAAGTTGCCCCACTCTTACAGTTGCCACCATCAAACCAGAGCTGCAAATGAAAATAACTACCTGCCTTTCAATGTTTCAGAAATTATTTTTATGATATTAAAAATTATATTTCTATTTGATCTTGTACCATATGCAGTAAATAGGCAGTAGTATGGTGGCCTTTCTTTCATGCAAGTTATTAATCTACACTTCAGCTCTTGAAACTGCCATTTCTGAAGAGACAGATGTGGATAGATGAAATAGTGGAAAAAACATACAGTGACATAAATATATTTAGCAATTCAGCAGCAACAGGGAATTCAGGGAACTGTTCACAGCTCATAATGATCTGATGCCGTTATTCACAAAAACATGCACTGAAATATAAATTGCATTACGTCGCACCAGTTCTATGTGTGCAGAATTTATGCTGCAATTAAGGACTCACAGAGTTAGAGAATAAGAGCTAACACTTGTATTACATAAACAAAGAATAGGACTAACAACTGTGCAAAACAAATACTGATAACTCTGGTAGGCCATTAAGTGGTAAAGACCAGGATGGACAGTGACAATATGATAATAACAACATATATATCTGTGATGCAACTAAGTTTTGAAACTTGCATATATTTATGGTAGCTTCAACTCAGAAAATATATTATAGAGCAAGAAAATGTGTAGAAATGTGCAGCCGTGATTAAGATGTTGCCATGATTACGGTGCTCAAGTAACTCTCCAATGAGGAAAGATGACAGGGTCCTTTATACCAAAAAGGAACAAGCGATGCAAACTATTATATCACAACAATGTAAACTATTATGAATGATACAAAGGAAACAGACAAGGGACTTTTTTGCCTCTTTCCTTTTACTAGAATCTGGACTAAGTAGCTAAAAGTAGTAATAGATGAATGAGAGCACCACTTTTAGGGTACCATGATTAGGAAGGTGCTAATGCACATATATGCTGTTGTTGGACATTATCAGTATCTGGTCGCTCACTATAACTGCAGAATGCTGGCCTGTATATATATATATATATATTCATCTTATTCAGCAGCACTCTTCTTGGGTTCTTAGAAGCAACACAGAATCATACAATACTAGAATTTTAGAGCTGAAAGGCTCAACTCCATCTACTCCAGCTCCCTGCCAAGAAAGCAATTGTCTGACTTTCCCTCATTACAGGCCTGTTAATTTAGAGACTTCATCTAGGTTGCCAAAATATCAAAGTGAAATATTCTAATTTATATCATGGGTTTTTAAAAAATAATACACCAAAACCTTCACTTCTGTTTGTTTGCGGAAGCAGGCATATAAGAAAGATCTGCTGGTTCGCTGTAAAATCCCCATTTGGGAAGATAGGAAAGCTTTTTGAAGCATGTTTTCGTAACCAGAGAAGACTGCAGGAAAGAAGGGACGAAAAAAAATGATCCAGCTGTGTCATGTTAGATTTAGGCCATGATGCTATATGTATATAGGAACAAGGCAGTGGTGCGCAAATAAGAGACTAGGGAAATGCAATCAGGTATGGATATTTTTAGGTCTCTTCCATTCACCTTCTCTCAGGGCCACACATTAGCATTTTCATCTTGTCCAGATTACTTTTCAATCCTCTTGCTGCCTCCACTTTTCAACCAAGCATGGTAACCAGAGCCTCATTAGCTCTGTTCAGATGAAATCAGAGGTACAATGATAAACCATCTGAATATCATACTTCCTTATGGTAATGCTCTGGGTTTTTTGGGGTTTTTTTTTTGTATAGTTAGGCAGGAGAAAGTTAAACTAGGATTCTGGCATGACCTTGCAAGACATTGGAAAACAAACATCTGTTGTAATTCCTTCCAGCTCAATTCAAGTGGAAACAATCAGCAGAAGATTTAGAAAGAAAAAGATTTCATCTGGACATTTTAGTTTGTCAGGGCAAATGTCTATTCACTGTAAATGGTGTTGTCTTCTTAAAGAAATACATCTTTCATGAGCAAGAAAAGCTAATGCAGTTCAGCAGATGTGCTGCCTTTTCATGCTCTGGAAACATTACTCTTTTGGCCCATTAGCTACACAGTGCTCCTTGAACTGATTCATTTAAGGAGTTCAGTTTTTGGATATCTGGCTTTTATTTCATAATTTTGTTCCATATTTATTATTCTCTCTTCCCTTGTTGTATGCTCTCATTAGCACTATGCCCAGGTAAGTATTATGCAGCATGATAACAACTTCCTTTTCAGTACTTCTCTCCTGCCATCTGTCATTATGTATCTCCATTTTTTGCAGTCCTACTTAAGAATTTGATAGGTTTTTATTTATTCAAGTTGGTTAGTTTTGTGGTACAAGTAAAATGCCACAATTGTTGCAATTAGTGATTATCTCACCGTGGACTTTACCATTCTCACTTCTGGCCTGTATAAGGCTGACACCAAATGCAAGCATCCTCATGCTAACCACATGCTTCAAAACAACACTTCCATTGAGAGAATGATAGAAAAAAACCCTCTGACACTAGTCCTTAAATAGCCAATGTTTAGTTTTGATATAGCTATCACACCAGAAGGAAAAAAATGGAAGGATTTATCAATACCTCTTAAATAGATAAGAAAATGTCTAGTCCTCTTCTCGATAATAAAGATGAATAGCTTTTTCTGACAAACATAAGTAATTATACTACAAGTCGTGTTTCTGTGCCAACACAAGTTTGTTGCAGCCTGAGATTTTTTTCATGCAAGACATGCAAGGAGAAAAGAGGTATTGATCAGAAATGAAGGAAGGTGGTTACAAGTATAAATGGTTAGTAAGATGCTGAGAATAAACAGCCCTGATTTTTGTCAGGCAAACTAAGATGCATCAGCAGTACTTTCTTAATATATGTTGTAGAGTAGCTAGTGTCAGCAGTGTCTTAGTCCCTGGCCTGATAAACTTAATAGAATATTGACTCTGTCTCATTACAAAGGACTGTAATCTTTGTACTGCTACCATTGGCTAAAGGCTGAATTTGGCTCTTCAGGGATGTAACTGTATAACTGCACCAGTGCCTTAAATCAAATACATGCTGAAGGATTAGGTGTGGGTTTTAGTTTTTAGGGGGATATTTTTTGTAGAAGACTGTCTCTGAAGGCACACTGTAGGCTTGGGCTTTTTTCTGCTTCATTTCTTGAAGGGGGTACCTTATTAAGATATTCCATTCATAGAGAAGCAGGGCCTTGACTTTTGTTGGCATAGTCTTTCCCAACCTTGATTGACACATCGCTGCAGATACTTCAAGGATGTTTAAAGGAGTTGAATGCTTATCCAAGTGGTTTTGGTCTAGAATAAAGCTTTGGAGACAGATGCTTGAGCTGGATGACATTGCTGTTTTATTTTACTTAATAGCATATTCTCCACACCACATCTACCAGGTACATCAGGACTAGAAGATTCAGTCCCATCATGATCTTGGATGAAACTGAACCCTCACATATCTGTTACTTTTTCTTAGATTTTAAAACATTAAAACTCTTAAAAATAATTCACCACAAAATAGTCCTTCCATTAAAAATTGTAGTATCCTTGACAGTTATTATACTGTCTCTAACTTCTGTAGTATATTGAAATTAAATTAAGACTGACTTTCTAATGTTTACTTGCCTGAGAATGAACATGACAGGTTTACGACTGAGAAGACAGGAGGATTACAATGCAAGCCATATATCCCATTATTTAAATGTCATGATCTATAATACAAATCTGTATTGTACATTTACAGTTTTTGAGTCAATCAGAACTTTTTTCCATATATTACATACAGCTATACGTTTATATATAAAATATTAAAGATTGTTTACAAACCTCATAAACTCTTGAAGGCTTGGGCCCTTTGTTGGTCCTCTATAGTTCCACTAACATCTCCATATGATAAACTTATACCACGACATAATTTTATATTATTCATAAATGGTTTTCCAGCCACAGGAATGACTTTTGGGGGAAAGCAAGAGATGGCATCCTTGGAAAGGGAGGCAGAAAATCCCTGTTATGTATTTGCTTCCATAAATTGAACAAAAACCACAAAGTTCAGATTTAAAACATTAATAGAAACCTATTTATTGAATTGTGTGTGTGTGTGTTTGTCAGGCATGACTTGAGAGACTGCAAGTCACTTCTGGTGTGAGAGAATTGGCTGTCTGCAAGGACATTGCCCAGGGAATGTCTGGATGATTGATGTTTTATCATGCTTATGGGAGGCTTCTCCTATGTCCCCGCATGGGGAGATAGAGCTGACAGAGAGAGATCAACCCTGCCCTCCCCAGAACCCTGTCAGTCAGCCATTCTGCTGGCACAAGGGTTTAACACATTGCACCACCCGCGTGCACATGATTTAGGTACACATGATTTAATCCTGTCAAAAATGGCAAGACCTTTCTAGCTATAACTGCAAAGAGAATTGCAACTATAAGTCACAAAATAAGAAATGTTGAAAGCAACTACACAGAATATTTGTATGACATGTATGTCATACTTAGAAGGTGTGATAAATAATATTTGTTCTACACAGTTTCAATAGGCAAGATTTGTACTTTTTATGATTCTACATGAGGCATTTAAAAATGATACAGTGATAGATTATGCTGCTTGGATAAATTTTGATGCACAATTGCATCTGAAATCTTCATTTTTCTTAACATTATGTTTCTAAGCAACTAGAAACATATGATCTATTTGCTTGCAAGCCTACTACACCCATAGTCTGGTGGTAGTTTTAGTGATTTAAGCTTCAAAACTAGTATTTGAAGTATATAACTGAAACAGAGACCCCCATGTACCTTGGTTTGTGTTGTCATTTGATTTTCAGTCCAATTAGACCTGAGTTATGTGTAGCTTATTTTTGCTTGGCACCTCTTCGTTGCTTCAGCAAATGGTTTTATGTAGCGCTTTGTGTACATATGGAAATAACAATGTTTTTATTGCTTATTTGCTGTACAAGGGGAAAATCTTGCTTTGCCAAAAAGCATACTGCTGACCCTTTTCTGTGTACCTTCCAGGGGATGGAAAGTAGTTTACCCTTGATCAGCAATGGGACTTTTTTTTTATACTGAACATTTCCTCAAAATTTTGACTGTCAAATCATGTTTCTTCAACAGGACAAAGAAGCAATTCATACATTTTTCTTAAAGTTAGATGGAAGGGGAGCTATTCAACTATATAGAGACACTGGTTTGAAGCTTCTCTATACAGAGGCTCAAACAGATTGTAATTATAAAAAAATGAGAGAGCAGCACTGCTCAGTCTCCTCTACGAATGTTGACATGACAAAGATGGAAGGCTTTATCAAAGGAATAAAATTATCCCCCTGGAAGTTACACCATATTTGCTAATAGCATGCTTTTTTCAATCCCTTGCTCTGCTCTGTCCACAATCTCATCTTCAAAACACCATCTCAACTGCTGATAATGTTACCAACCAACCAGCCTGCGATCTTTCAGTTCAGACAAGTCCCATACACTGAGCCACGTCTCCTACCTGAGGGACAGCACCATGATTGATGATGCAGTTGTTATCCCCAGCCACCAGGTGAGGCATTTGTGATAATTTGGTGTGTCAATTAATCTGGTATCTTATATTCTGCTGTTCTTTATTTATCATTATTTTTACTATTACTGTAGTAGTCATCTTACTTGAGATTAGATTGATTTCATTGTGGTTTTGCTGATGTTGTTTTAATTGATTGGTTTGCTCCTCCAGTAATATTAATTTCTGCGCAAATGTATTATGGAAGAGAGATTTCAATTATGAATGTCAGTCGTCATAAAATCTATGGGCAAGAATAAATAATCTAAGCATTTTCCCTTGTGAGAACATTGAAAACTGAAGTTCTCAAGGATCGCTCATAGTTTGGGATTTAGTCTGTAAACAAATCCCACATTTTCTGTGCAGAATTTTTCCTTTCTGTGCACCCCCCAGCCCCAAACACATTTTTCACACAGAAAAAAATTCAAATGCCTAAGAACTTTTTCCATCCAAAGTTCTTCTCATTGGGATTTCACATCACTCAGAAAGCTGCTTTGGGATTCAAATATTTATTTACAACTGTTCTTTTCATCCCTAATTTGAATACGTGTAAGGCTGTCTTACACTGAATTTTCCTTTTAATTATTAAGTCAAGTTTTTAGGAAAAATATAAGAAATCATTCTCTTCTGTTTTGAACAGAGAAGTAATTTATAAAGCACAATTAGTGTAAGGACACAAATTCTTCTATATAACATTGCTGTATGCCTTGTTCTTTGGTTTCAGTCCATTGTGCTAATATTAGTAATCTCAGTGAAAAATGTGGAGTAACGTTCTACTTGTGTAGCATAATAATCTTGCAACTAAACCCTGTGAAAATGGATTTCATAACAATATGATTGTATTCACTAAACTCTGTAGTTCAACATTGTTTGGTTAACATAGTTTGTGAATGCTAAGGTTACTGTAGCTCATTAGCTAAGTAAGACAGCTCACGAAAGACTTGGCTCATCTCTCTCTCTTTTTTTTTTTTTGCCTTCTGGGGACTGAAAACAGGACAGTTGTCAAAAATCCAGTAGATTCCAAGATACTGTAGCTAGTGGTCATCGTTTTATTTCATAGGTCACATATTTTGCATGCTTATCATTTATGCAGTGGTAATAATGTTGGAATACAATTTGTTTTTGTATGACCATGCACTGTCACCAAAATAGTATATCACAATGTGACAGATATTTTACAGTGCTGTCTAAATAGTCTGGCAGTAGTAGTATGTTTATTGATCTTGAAGAGGATAAATATTATTTTGATAGTTAATATGATCACACATTTGGTCTTTCCCAGAATATAAATAATTTTGTATCCTTCAGTGAGTTAATACCATATGAGACTTAGAAACCATTTTGGGTGTGGTAAATATTGGCTGTGAATGAAAAAAGGAAGTGAACAGCAAAAAAAAGCAATTTTTTTTGCATTTTCAGGTAACCACACTGGCCAAAGAAGGCGAAAGAACATCATATCGCTTAAGTTGGAGTCCTGATAACTTGGACAACGTAGCTCTTTCTGCTAGCCCTATACATTCTGGGTAAGTAATCCATATAGTAGAATATGAAACATATCCACAGAGTGAACCACTGCTTAGTTTAGATGTGTATCCTAACTGGTCAGATTAAAGCATTCAGCCAAACTTCAAATTTAAACCGGTTCCAAGCAGCTTTAACTGTGATGATACATCCTCTCTTTGAAAAATGTTTTGGTGGGAAAGGTTGAGGGCTTGCATGTTCTGAGAGGGGATTGTCAGTCAGGAGTCACAACAGTTAAACATATTCAAAACTGGCTTAACTGGTTAGTGTAGGTCTTAAGACTGACCTAGAATTTCTGTATAGAAAGAAGTATGAACCATTGAAATTGTTCTCAGCATGCCATGGCTCGCACCAAGTTAATATGTTAATATTGATTGAAATGTTTTGCATCAAAATAAAATGTCAATAGCTTTGAAAGGCAAAAATATATACTAACAACTGATGTTTAGCTTTTCTGATTCTGCCTTTGCAATATTTTAATAAGAGTAGCATTTATGATTACTAGTAATTTTGAGGAGACCTTCATCAGGTATAGACTTCAACAGAGCTTGGAACCCCTGTTCAGTTGCTCTCCATGTGGAAAAGCTATACAATATATATAAAATTATGTACACCTTTGGCACTTGGAACCCCAGTGTGGGGGCTTTGGTGTGTTGGTGTGACTCAGGGATAAAATTGAGACCTACTCCCTCTGCAGTTGTGCACCCCATGCTGTATATGAATAATGGGTTAATGGACTGTCCTTCTGGTCCTACCTCCAGTGTCATCTATGGGACTGGCAATGCCCTTTGACTAACTGTATAAGAAGGCTCATATGAGCAGCTGTAATCATCTGGGCCTCCATGCAACCAGCGCTTTTGCACAAGCATGAAGAGCTTATGCATAAAGAGCTGCTTGTATTACAGGTCTACCGACGTGAGCATCAATGACAATGTATAGATGTATGACATGAAATGAAAAACATTGTGGTGGACCCAATTGCTCCACCGCACTGGCTCAACACCATCTATAAATGGAACACAACTGAACAAAGCTAAAAAGTGCAGAGATTTACAAAATGGTCATTCTGATTCAGAAGCAGATAAATGCACAGAACACTGGAAACTGAATGATTATTTCCCATTCACTTCAATGAAAGTGGATGACATCAAAATTCTGCATTGAAGTGATAGAGAAGCACGCTCACATACTACATGTGTGTGTATGATATTTGTCAATCTCTTATATTTCTCTCACATATCTATCTTTATCGATAGATAACTATTCTTATCTTTTAAGCATATATTTGTCAATTCAAACATAGATCAAAGATTGTAGTGTTAGGCAGCAATCCTATAAACGTTTACTTGAAAATAAGTTCTATTAAATACAGTTAAGCTTACTTCCGAATAATCATGTGTAGGTATGCACTGTACTTATGGAACACTTTACTATATTGTGAAAATTTGTCATCTTAAAAGAAAATTCGACATCTGGAGTATTTTATGAAAAATCTTTGCTAAATTGAAAAGTTTGATTTATCAATTCGGCTCTCACAATCTGAAAAAAGGGGGCAACATACCTATTTAAAAAACCCCTGAAAAATACAGTTATTTAGATTATTGTCATTTCAGAACCAACTGGTTTCATGTGAAGTTATTTTCAGGAGTTATATTTTACATTTTATGTACCTTACAAAGTGCAGTGTGGTAGCCTATTTTTTGTGTGTTGCATAGTCAATAAATAATTTGAACAGATGTTTGAGTTTGGAAATGTCTGTGATGGTCTAGAAGGAGCCGACTGACTACAGTGAACAGCATTTACAACAAAGATGGTCTGTTGGTCTGTTGCTGTTTATCAGTCCACAGCCATATTAATAATACTATGATGATGTGACATAAGCCAGGCTTTTTCACCAGCATGTTTTAACAGCTAAATATACTTTACCAATAATGCAGAGAAGTTCAATTAATTTTATTCTTGGACCATTTTACCTTTTTTTTTCATGCCAGGAGTGACTTGAGGAACTGCAAGTTGCTTCTGGTGTGAGAGAATTGGCTTCCTGCAAGGACGTTGCCCAGGGGACGACCAGGTGTTTTACCATCCTGTGGGAGCCTTCTCTCATGTCTCCTCATGAGAAGTTAGAGCTGACAGATGGGAGCACACCCTGTTCCCTGTATTCGAACTGCTGACCTTTTGGACAGCAGTCTTGCCAGCACAAGGTTTTAACCCATTGCGCCACTAGGGGCTTCTATTTTACTAAATATCAGTATTTTTTATGTCAGTATATGCCTAAACCTACAGCTTCCTCAGTGTTTGGAGTTGTTCGTGCACACACATCTTGTGTGATTAAAGTCAGTAGCTAATTTCCCCTTGTGAGGATGCTATCTTAAAATATTTTGGATTACAAAAATAGCTCATAAGAATTTAGAGACAACAGAGGAGTCCAAGGGGAGTTGCTAATCATTTCATAACCCTGGTTAAATTCAGGTGAATTGTTTAAGATGGAGGATACCAGCTTTGTAATTATGTTCTCCAATTTTCTGGGAGCTTTTAATTCCATTCCACAGAATAGTTTAAATTAGCCCAGATCGAAATGTATCTGCACTTGCCTTATATGTTGCTACTTTCTTGGATTGAACGAAGCAACCACCGATAAATACAGCGATTGTTTTCAGGATTGACAAAGATCAAACACAAAGGAAAAATAAATGCTAGTGCTAAATCAAACTAATGTAATATTGCTAAAGCATTTTAGCATCAACTGTAAATTCCAAATAATAATAAAAGGCTCAGTGGAAATAGATGAAAATTTCTCCAATGATGGATGAGGGACTAGATGTAACACGTGATCAGTTAAGGGGAAGAACACAAGGGAGAAGAGAAGGAGGACAACTCAACACATTTCAGGAAAGAGACTGGATATAACTCATAAATAAGAAGGCATAATGGAACCAAAAAAGAATTGGAAACTTTTAACACTTCTAGAGATTTTTTTCCCTTTTGTAGGCACTTGTCTCCTAATAAAAAATGCTCAGGACTTTAATCCTGTGGTCTTTGGTTCCTCACCCTGCTGCTATAGAGCCTGTGTGTGTAAAGGCTTTATCCCTGAATTTCTTTCCCTCTCCAACATATTGTTCATGGAAAGTGATTGAACAGTCTTCTGGATTTTGCCTGTTAAGCTATGATAGTTTGCTATGTCAGTTTAGAAGAAAGGACTGCACCATACAGTTTTCTTATGAAAGAGTGCTCAGATGTTGATCTTGGGGGTTTCCACTCTCCCCATTATTCTTATACTTCATAGCAAATTGTGAATGTACTCTGAAGAGTTTTCAGCTATGGGAAAACTGACCCAAGAATCATTTCCCAGAACAATTTTATAAACTTTTCTCACTTTATTTGGAATGGAGCAAAGTCTGTAGAGGATATACACTATGAGTGCTTAAACCTGATCAATAATTAGAGTTATTATTCTTAGCTGCCTGGCTTCAAAAAAGGACATTGGATCATTGCTAACAAGGTAAATAATATTTCTTGTTCATATCCCATGTGTTATCCTCACAAACAGCAGTGGAAACAGGATCTAGCAGCTAGAAGCTGAAAGCCATGATCATTAACATTAAAATAAAAGGAATATAAATTTCTAATTGTCCAAACTATTTCTAGACTGTTTAAGAATAGTTTAAAAACTACTCATTAAAATTTGACTCACCTATTATTGATTAGCATACAATGAGCTACTTGAATAGTCAACTCACTGAAATAGAAATTCCTTTCTGTGTACCAGATGGTAATGTTGACATACAGAATCATGGTGAAAAGGCACAGAAATCTATTAAAAATAAGAATAGGAAGAAATGAAATACAAGAAGATAAGTGAAATAAAATATAAACCTTGGACTAAATCAAATATTGGTAAAACATAACATTGGACCCATTGAAATTAGTTGTGACTAATTGAAGTTCTGTTAATTTCATTAGATTATATTGGATTTAAACCTATACACACACACACACACTCACTCATTCCAGAATGGAAATGGCCCTAGAGAGGCAGTTGACTATAAATAATAATAAATAATAATAATCAGGTAGCGAAGAAACAAATTGGGCGATTGACATTCACAATGGACAATTGGAGATAGTTGTGTCCTTCCCATTTATATTAGTATGGATTATATTTAATTTTATATGTTTCTTCATAGAAATAAATTTCAAGAAACTTTAGCATGGTTGGCAGTCTCATATGAGATAAACTCAAAGTTTAGTTAATGCTAGATAGACACACATAGGGTTTGCTATGTGTGCTATTCAAAAGATACTATTATTTTTCATAGTACCCTGTTTGTTAAAACAGCATTAACATCTAGTTACCCTTTTGTGATGGCAGTTGTTCTTGGTTACTTTGGCTCAACACTGCACAGGAGAACTAATTTGCAAATTCTCAATATCTGATTAAAATATTACAGAACTACCATATGGCCTGCCATATGGAGGTTACTAAAAGGCTCTTAGCTGCATCAGTAGTATAACAAGGTGAATATAGGGTGGAGTGGAGGAAGGCTGTGGTGATACTGTAGCTGATTTAGAACACAATTATTGCAATATGTATGGTTTGCATATAGAGTCTTCATGAACATGAGATTTCCTAGTGAACAAATACTGGAAGGTTCCTTTAGTTGATTTCCAGAACGTTTGGAGATGAAATAAAAAATCCCATTCAGAGAGGAACATTCTGTTTCATTCAACTTTGCACCTTCATATGCTTTCTGTAATCTGTTTTTACATTCCCTTTACATCTTTCAGTTTGCAGGTTTAAAACATCTTCTCTTCATCTTTTTGTTTCATTCATTACTCTATATTTTTCATTGCTAAATTATCTCTTCTGTTGCAGCCACTCCTCTCCATGTTTTGACCATGACAACAGCAGGTGAACTTATATATAATTTCATTTTTAACACATGATTCCCCTTTGTCTTCCTTTTAATTTGTTCATTTTTTAATTTGTTCATTTCAGGATGTTCAAGTAATTTGATAACCCCATCATTCAGCATAGTATAAAGCCAAAGCTTTTCCTTGGAAAGTTGTTGAAATCTCATTTTTTTTCTTTTGCAGTGTAGAAGGGAAGTTAAACTCTATAATCCTCACAGAAAGGCTGCCATCCTGTTAGTAACATAAGCAGATATAAATCCATCTTATACTGGCATATGTCTTTTCTTGGCTATTGCAGTGGATTATATGTTCTTCAGGCCTTTGCAATGCCCTCCAAACTCACAATAGCACTTCAGTTGTGCTCCCACTCATGGCTATGCTACTGATGTGGGAAAGCAAATGAAATCAGATAAGTGTGGCTATGGGAACATAGCCAAACACAGATGGCACCATCTTACTGAGACATCCATAGAATCCTAGTGGATCTCGGTGAATGATACCCTTAGACAACTTCTGGCTAGAGCAGTGATTCTCAACTTGTGGGTCCCCAGGTTTTTGGCCTACAACCCCCAGAAATCCCAGTCAGTTTACCAGCTGTTAGGAATTCTGGGAGTTGAAGGCCAAAACGTCTGGGGACCCACAGGTTGAGAACCACTGGGCTAGAGGAGCATTGCCAGATACTCATCTGAATCCCCCTGCTCTTCACCAACAAATATATGGCTGTGGTTGGATTGTGTATGCTTTTGTACTGTCACAACACAACAGTTACTCCTTGGCACCACTATGGAAAAATCAGAGTGGAATCCTGCATGACAAACTCTTGCCTTGAGCTCAGTCATGTAGGATCTCCCCCTGTATTGCCAAATTTTTCTTGAATTGAATCCATGCTTTGTTGCTTCCAGTCATGCAAAAAGATTTTACCTAATAGTAGGATCTATATAAGAAAGGGTTACTCCATTAGTGTTCTGTTAGAGGTTGGTAGGGGTTCTGCAATACATAGTGAGTGGAAAAAATAAACACTCTTTGAGCTGTAGATATCAAAGATTTTCTGCAGGGCCCCCAAAATTTCATCAAAAATGTATCTAGGGTAAAAAGTATGAGACTGATTTAGTGGAACAGGAAACATTCTAAATTAGATCTTAGACTTGTTTAGAAACATGTAACATTTCCCTAGAAGCAAATTTTAATCTGCAGTTATATGCTCCCTATATAAAAATAAGTTGCGAGGGAGTGCATTCTCATGGTTTCAGGTTTTCTTGAACAAACCCACAACCATGTGCATGCAAAAAAGGCAATCTCAAAAAGAGTTTGTTGCAACCATTTTGAAATTGTCACAACCATGTTTGGGTTGCAGTCCTTCCCTTCAATGAAAATATATAAATCTTATTTAAGTCAAGGAAAAATTATCATCCATAATTAAACATGGTTTGCATATTTATCTGAAGGAAATCTGTCCTTACTATTAAAATATTACTACGAATTATTCTTCATTCATGCAAAGATATGGGTTCTAATGTTTGATTGGTCTGTTCCTTTTTCTGTGTCTCTAAAATATGGCATATCTAGTTTTCTCCCTTTCTTATCTGTATGCTTGAGAAATGCTCAAATAACCATATCAAGCTGTTTTGTATCTAACATTCACACTGACTAACTTGCTGCTGCTATTTCCCTGTTTCCTTGCATCATATAGTATTTAGAATGATATAATTTAAAAGGCCGTCTGTGGGAAAACTGTGATAGATGTGGTCCAGTGAGAACTATTTTACCATGCTGTGTGATGAGAAGCATGTCTACTTTCCCAACTAACTTAAATGTACCATCATATATAAGTCAATTGTGTTTTAAATTCAAATGGTTTTTAAAACTAGAAAAAAGAGTGCTGATCTGGTTTATTTTGCTCTGATGGAGGATTATTTTTGCATGCAAATCCAACTGAAAGTCCTATGACACGAGAGGGCAACTGTGGTTGTTATTGGGGGTAGTCTTCAATCCCTGGTACCAGAATAGCAGTTGGGGTGTGTGTGTGATATATGTCAAAAACAGACGTCTACTTCTGGTTTTGACAAACATTTTGTGAAATGTATGTTACACAGCATAAGAGGTCCTGCATCCTCTTTTAAATGGGAAAATGCTGGTTCTGGATTTTTACCTGAACATGTGACCTCCATTTATTTATTTATTCACTGCATTTATATACATAGTGATTTGGACAATTTGGAGGGATTAAGCCCACTTCTGTGTATATAGTTCCAATAACCACAGTCTGCTCACCTCTGCTGTAAAGTATAAATTGTATATTCATCCATAGACATTCACATTGTTTCCATTTCCTTTGTGTGCAGCTTTGTTCATATGGGTTTCCTATTGCCATTTCTTCCATACATAGAAAACCATGTCATTGGAAGAGAGGTGCTAGTTTAAGTGTAACAGATCAATTGAGTAGATACTTCAATATATTTCATATATTGTACACTATGAGGATTACTGTTCCTCTCACGATAGGTTATCTTCCCTTCCTGAACACTGCAGCACAAGCACCCAGGAGATGTTTGAAGTTATACTTTCTACTTTCAGCCAGAATTGTGTTATGCATGAATCCTAGAGTATTTATTTATTTATTTACTTCATTTGTTGACCGCCGCTCTCAGCCCTGGGGCGACTCGTGGCGGTGTACAACATGTAAAAACAGTCTACAAAAACATACAATATAACAACAACCGAATTACACATTAATCTAAATCACACTAATAGATCCGCGCCATCACAACATAGAATCATAGCCAATCTCATAATCCATAGTCCGTTCCAAATGTCATTACCAGATTCGTGTGGGTCTCAATTAAATGCCTTCTCGAATAGCCAGGTCTTTAGGCTCTTACGAAAAGCCATAAGGGAGGGCGCCTGTCTGATGTCAACAGGGAGGGTGTTCCACAGCCGGGGGGCCACCACTGAGAAGGCCCTCTCTCTCGTCCCCGCCAGACGTGCCTGTGAGGCGGGCGGGATCGAGAGAAGGGCCTCCCCGGATGATCTCAAGGCCCTCGTGGGCTCATAGGCCGAGATGTGGTCCGAAAGGTATTCACACTCCCTGCGTATTCCCAAGTTTACGGGAGATATAGGGACCATGGAAGTTTCCCAATCTCACTTACCAGAAAGCAGCCATTGCAAGTTGGCTGGAATCTGTACACCATCACTTGGGAAACAGCTGACTGATATTTTTACCTTGCTCACTTAAGCAATCTCTGGTACACGGGGAAATTGTGAAAGGGATCCTTCTTCTGTGTGTTACAATAATAGTCACTCATGGGAGTGGGAATGTCAGTCACCTACTTCTCAAGTGACATGGGAGTAGACTTCCATTGGTCACAGATGAGAATGAGGGGGATTGGGGACAAAAATCACTGCATACCCACATAACTACTGGAGTTATGCATTTGTAACTGCCCAGTAGGATTCGAGCCTGTGTTATTTTAGGTATAGGAGTTTTGTGTGTGTTTTTAAATTTCTTTATCCTAACATTCAAACTGCCATTTATTAAAATAGCTGCAGTATTATTTTTCTTGCTGAGTGTGCTTTGAATAAGCTTCTCATTCACTTCCATCAGTAGGAACAACTATGGCTAATCAAAAAGACTTTTGTGAGGTGGCAGGCACAGAAAATCTGTATGGTTTGGTTGTAACATAAAAATCAACATTTTAAAATCAAAGGCAGGAAGCATAGGAGTTGACTTGAATATTGAAAGCTAAAGTGGAAGAAACTTTCTAAAAGAAGCTGCCTTAGCGAGAGGTCTTACATTATATTATAATATTAATTATATTAATTATATTAAGCTTTAGACTTGTACTCCTTTTGGAGAATATAGCAAAAGTGGTATATTAAATGCCCTCTCTGGGTCTTAGGAAACAAGTTAAAATGATATCTTTTTCATCACAAAAATGCAATATTCCCATCCGGTAGTTATTAAATTGACATAAAGAGATAGCAAAAGAAATAAAAAACAAAAACAACAGATTTCATCAATTATATTAGTGACATTTCAGGATCGACTTTACGGAAATATAAATATAAAATGTGATGCTTTTAAATTGAAACATTGTCTTTAAAGTTAATTATTTGATATTTCCTAATTAAATCAAGAATAGAATAAAATATAAGTAAAATGTAGCTTTCCTGTGGAAACAAATGATGGCAGTATAATATTATCAATGGTTGAAATGCAAGCAATACATGCAAATACATTTAAAATTTCCATCCAAACAAGAAATCTTAAAATGATTTCTGGCACTAGATGCTGCCTATATTCCTCATAACGTATTTTTTTGCGATTTCCAAATTTGTAACTGTTGCCTGTAAATCAAAAGGCACAGACACACACTTCTGGGAAGATGAGAGTTGGCCACATAACATTTGCGGAAAAGAATCAGAAATGCATGGGCATCTTCCCATAAATATGATATAGTCTTATTGTATAATCTGGCTCAAGACACACAACCAGCATGAGTCTTATTCTAAGAATAAACAACACATTTATATTTAAATTTACATAGCTAAATAATTATGAAAAGTAGTAAATCCAGAATGGGAGGCTTTTCCTATCACTTTAATTGCAAGCTCAGAAATACTTGGCCTGCTAAGTTTTTCTTATTTAAAAGGATGCTAAGCAACAATACAGAATGGGAAAAAAGTATTGGCTGATTTAGAAAAGAAAAGTAAGGAAAATCAAGGATGCATGGCATGCTCTAGTGTTGCAGATTGTGGCTCTTCATCATCATTCACTTTGGCATGCTTCAACAGCTGGCTATAATTGCATGTGGAACTGACCTCTCCTTTCCCAAGTTGATAACATAACATTTGGTTTAAAAAAGAATGATTTTATCAATGATATTTAAAAGAGAGTAGGAAACAAGAATCCAAGGAAAGAAATACTGGGCAGGATCCAATGCTGTCATTCTGCAGATGGAACCTGTTTCCTTGTAGCTCCTAGTGCCTCCTTTTGAGGTTGGAACATGTTTTTGGGTGGGAAAGAAAATTGTAGAAAGGAGGAGGAGAAAGCTTCCACTATATTACCAAAACGGATGGAAGGGGAAAAGACATTGCCATTTACTTTAAACTCATTGTGTGGCCATATGCTCACAATTTAGTTTATATCCTGACAGTTTAATTTTTCCCCATTATTAACTTATTTATTTTTATTAAGAAAAGAGATGTTTCAAACTCATTCACAAATGCACAGTTGTTACACATAACAACTTTTAACTAAAATGTACTCTTTAACTTCTTGTTAAATGTTTTCTTTGTTAAAAACCCGACTAAAATAAAAATAGACAAATCTTTGTCATGTTTTCAATATTTTCCAGAATTTCTTAGTACCTGAATGTCTTTTGCATTCAAATTTATAAGAGTATTGATAAGAAACTTATTTTATCACTGACAGTAAACATCTAATATAGATTAGATAACCGGGTATAACCTGTGCCATATACAGTTATGTATCCAGCTACTGAATATTTAATTGATAGCTCCCAAAAAGAAAAATCATAGCAATATTGATTATTGTTGCACTTCTTGAGATACTTTAAAGATGTGGGTATAGGGGAATGACATACACATAGATTTATTAATATTCGATAGTAAAGGGGAGCCAATAGACATATGGAGAAAACACAATTATGGCTGACTTTCAAATCTGATCTTTTTTTTTTCAGTTTCCTGGTCAGTTTCATGGTGGATGCGCGAGGTGGTGCCATGCGGGGGTGCAGGCACAATGGACTTAGAATCATTATTCCACCTCGGAAATGCACTGCTCCAACTCGAGTTACCTGCCGGTTGGTCAAACGCCATAGACTAGCCACAATGCCTCCAATGGTGGAAGGAGAAGGGTTGGCTAGCCGTATCATTGAGGTTGGACCATCTGGTGCTCAGTTTCTTGGGTAAGAATATTTTTAAGTTGATTTAATTTTTTAAAGAACTGATATGAAATAAATCATTTCTTCTGTTTTCAATTCCTGCTTGGATGGTTCGTTACTTCAGTGCTGGAAGAGTAAAGGTATTCTGTTGTATCATATGACGCTGGGCTATATAGCACAAGGTGAAATCACTGTTATGCCAACAAAAGTTAAGAAAATTGTATGACTTTTAATTAAACTCACAAATGCCTAAAATTCATTGTTAAGTATTTTTATGAAATAATTTTTTTAATTCATGTGGCTGTTAAAACAAAAATCATTTTGTGGTCATAGTCAATTCATTTCATTCTCCACTTTTAAGGGTAAATTCTTTTTTAAAAAGTAATGTTACAAATGCACATGTAATACCTGTGAAGCAGAAGCTAAAGTTGCTATCAGGTGGATTCTCTCAGAGGATATTTTGTCAGGAATGAGATCACCTTGGAAGCACAAGCCTAGTTTTTCTAGGGCCAAAAGAAAAGAACAACTTCTGTTATCACATTTTGTCCTCTATATTGTCGAGCCCCACAGAACTATCATAGCTGCTGCATTTTTAAACAATTTTCTGCAGAAACTCACAGATCTCTTTTTCTTTTATCAGCAATTTCACTTATCAGTGGTAGCTTTGTATATGAAGGACAATAAAAGGAAAATCTCTCTTCTTATAGTGAATGGCTTCAGCTGTAAAACCAATACAAGGAAGAAGATGGAAAGGGGTATAATCTAAACACACTGCAAAGCAAAGCAATGATGTTTTAACGCTCTGTGGTCCCAGGACATCCATCCCATTTTCTTTCTTGAAATTTTATTTTTGAGGATAGGTTAAAGTAATTGGGAGGTGGTTATGTTGTGCAGCATAGCAGGCTAACACAACAGCCATTTTCTCCATTACTTTGTTCCCATTGTATTTCAGTAGAGGAATGAGAAGATTCCTAATTGTGGGCAAATGCAGTTCTGTAACTAAACAGTTGCCTATTGTCTTTACATGAAGATTCTTTCAAAATTAAGTGTTTAAATAAAGAAAAATCAAATTCCCAAATAAGAATGCATTTGCTTTCACATTTAGACTTGTCAGTTCTCTTTCTTTTGTCTGTCTGTTTCTGCTCTTTCTAATACATTCAGAGTAAAATCAAAAACTTATTTTCCTCCTCTCAAGCCTGTTGGGAATGTCTTTCAAAACTCAGATATGCTGAACGTTTTCATATAATTTTTGAAACCTATGTCTTGTACTGCTAGCACTTTCCTGGGTGGCGTCCTGGCAGAGAAATTAAAACATTGAACTTAGCAACCAACCAAGCCAAATCTCAACAAAATGCATTTGCTTGTCAGTCCTGAAGGCTAGATCTTGCTCTCATGAAAATCAGAAGCTAGTTCTCCCATGACTATCAGAAGCAAGGTTAACATGTTACTAAACTTTCTGAAGACACAATATGGTCCTCAGTCATGGGAGTGAGGACACTTTTTATGAATTCTTGTGACCAGTGGGGAGATACCTGAATAAGTCAAGACAGAAACAATTCAGTGTATAGCCTTCTTCCATTCTGAGCAGACAGTGGCACTGGGGTTCTGACAAAAAAATACATAAAGCTTATTTATTTTCTTTCTTTCACTGCTGCTTTGGATGTACTCAGTAAACTTCACCTGCCTACGGCTCCTCCCCCACTTAATGAGGGAGAAAGTTTGGTCAGCCGAATCCTTCAGCTGGGGCCTCCAGGGACCAAATTTCTTGGGTAGGAGAGACTTAAAACAAATTGATGGATGCTGGCCTTCCCATTCTTCTCCTTCTGCAATATTTTTTTATCTCATTGTGCCCATGACATTATCCCTTTCTGTGATTTTAAATTTTGTATACCTGACCTTTAGTGGACCATTTTCCAGCCCTTGTGGTATGTGGTTTTTGTTTTGGTGATATGTTTGTACCTTTTCTTCTTAAAATTCCTTGACCTCCACTTTTGATTTAGCATGAGAACTTCCTAGTTGTAAAATGTACCAGTCGTTATAGCTGTCATGTGCTTGACGTCTGTAGCAAAGCAACCTGGACTGGAACTAATGGAATCTACTGCATACTTTTTTTTTGCCTCCTTTGTCGCAGATGCAATATTAATATGTTATACGCTGGATATAACATAGTACTTAGCATGATACACATAACATGGCCTATGCAATTCAATTATTCTTGTGAGACTATTGATACATAAAGTATTTATAGTTTTTACAAAAGTGGAAAATACATGTTATGGTGAAATATATATACCATATGTGCACAAGGAGGAAAATTTTGATCTATCATTTTTAGAATAATGCAAAGTTTCTTCGTTCAGTAGAAATCAGAATATTATCTGTTGAAATAAAGAGCCAGTTTCAATTCAGTACAGATTACAAATGGTCTGTGTCTTCTAGCCTTTTCTTTCTGGCATAATTAAGATCATAATTTTTTTCTTTAAAGTGCCCATATATGTATATACATACATAACAGTAGAGTCTGCATGATACATGTGATTCCACATGATCCACACATCAAAGCAAACTTCAGTTGTGTGGGCTTTACTCATATCTGGAAAAAAACAACCAACCAACCCCAAATCCTACTATTCCTTTAAATACCCTGCTACTTTGGCAAGGACAGTAGACACTGTTTGTGGGTAAAAAGTGAGAGGATAACACTTACTGGTCATAACAACAACCTACAGTGCCGAAGTGCTATATAGTGTGCTTCTTTCAGGATTCTATCCAGGAATGGCAAAGCAACTGGCAGAATTCCAGGTCACTTTGTAACAGACTGAAAAAAAAGAACAACCCCTTTTATATCAACTTCTTTTTTTGTTTTTGTAATCTTTTAACAAGCTCTGTTACTGTAACAGGCCTGTGATTGTCGAGATCCCCCACTTTGCGGCTCTGCGGGGTAAAGAAAGGGAGCTGGTTATCCTGCGCAGTGAGAATGGAGACAACTGGAAGGAGCATTTCTGTGAATATACAGAGGATGAACTAAATGAAATCCTAAATGGAATGGATGAAGGTATACTATTTAATAGGAAAGGAATTAAAGAAGTTAAGACTACAATTGGAAAGCTAATTACCTGGAAGTAATTCTGACATCAAGGGCAATCAAGGGCAACTCTAACTGTATATAAATTGGGTTGCTTAGTACTATCTCAGGCAGAGTTTTCAAAACTTACAGAAGTCTCTAGTGTGTTAAAATAAGTTGATGTGTTTTGTATTAGCCTGAAAATAGACGCTTAGAAATGGCTTGAAACAATGTTCAGTTTTTATAGCTTGGGTGTTTTGGACTGGCCGATGTTCAGCCTGCTTTTTTTCTTTTTTGAGAATTAGTATTTTAATTATAAGGATATTGTTATAATTTGTTATAATTTAATCCATTAACAAAAGTTAATGGATTAAAATGTAAATAAATGTTAGAAAACAATTATGACAAATAGCTAAACAGCAATCTGTTCCTCTGACCATAAAATATGATAGTTTGAGAAAAATTACTGGTCCAAGATCATCTAGTGAGTGAGGAGGTATGATTCTGAAATAGTAGAGTGCTAATCGAAAACTTCAATCAATACATTGGCTCTTTTTCTAGATATAAGCTCATAACAATGTGACTTTTTTATTTGGAAGAATCCTTGAACATATAAACCACATCCCATACTGGGATCTCCTTAGGCAGAATTTAAAGAGACTGTGATTTTGTGAATTATAGCTCTGAAATTAAACATGAGGCCTGAACTCTTGTAAAGTGGATTTGGCTCTTTTCTCATCCTTCCTGCATTTCTTTGAAATACATTTTCTATTTATCCTTTCTTTCCCTGCCATTTCATTACTGTTAGATTTAAATCTGCCTTTCCTTTTCTTTTTCTGGGAATTTTGCTTATGACATACAAAAACAAGTCTGTAGATCTACACACTATAATGTATCTGTGGTTTAACTATATTTTCTTTTTATTCAGTACTGGATACTCCAGAAGAACTGGAGAAGAAACGCATTTGCCGTATCATCACTCGAGACTTTCCACAGTATTTTGCAGTAGTGTCACGGATCAAACAAGATAGTAACCTCATTGGACCAGAAGGCGGTGTGCTCAGTAGCACCGTAGTACCTCAAGTACAAGCCGTCTTTCCAGAGGGAGCACTAACAAAGCGAATTCGTGTTGGTCTTCAGGTAAGAGGAAACAAGCAAGACATTGGATTCTTTAACTGAGATTTCTTTTACAGTTTTGCAGTTTTGTATCATTCCAAGTCTTTATGGTTATCCTGGTTACTTTGTTTTGCATTCACTCTCCCCAAATTTTTGGTTGTCAAATGTGGAGCTAGCAGCCTACCATGCTTAAGAATTTATTCACCAAGTTTTGCAGCCAACATTCTGGCATTAATGTGTTTGATGTTTGAATTAAAATATTTTTGAAGGGAAACCATCAAGTGATTAGGAAGTATGGTTCTTTCATCATGCTTTCAAAATGTGGCTGCAGTTGTCTCCATAAATGATGTTATATAAATATCATATATATGAAGATATATATGTGAACTAAATACACAACTGGAGAAAACAATGTGTCCCTTTTTTTTCAAATAAGACCTGGCAACAATGCTACTATATCACATGCTAACTTTCCGGGACAATTTCAGTCCAATTGAAAGTACCTGGCAAGGGCCACACTTTCTTTCTTCTATTCTTCTATTCATAGTGGCTTAATTTCAATTGCTAGCTCCATTTAGAGTAGAGCTGTTGAATAAGTGAGATTCAAGTGTCAACTTACCATTCAACAGTTGATTAAATGGAGCTAGCAGTAAAATTTAAGCCAGTATATTACTGCAGATTTACTAAAATGAACTCTATGATATCCTGATCATGATGCAGAACAAAAATAGGAAAAGATAAATTAATCAATTTCGAACTTGGGGAATTTTTTTATAAAAATCTGGCTTGTAGTTTCTTATATATTTAACAGTTGCAAACATACATACAAAGTTGCTCTCTTAATTTTTTTTCTTTTTTAAAGAGCCCACCACTCCCAATTAAATGTGTTTTGAATTTAAAGTGTCCATATGTTCATATTTGTACTAAAATAAAATCTGAGTTGAAACATTTATAGCCTTGTCTTTAAGACATTTAGCAAGCAATTTAGCTCTGTTTTTTCTAGCTAACCATTTCATAAGACTGACTATAGGTCAGCTGTAACTCACAAAAAAATAGAAGGCATAAATAGTCTGAATGTGTACACACACGAAAGAATTCCTAGAAGATACAATAGAAGAATCTATGAGTTCACAGAGCATTTTATGCTTATTGAATTAGTTGTCCACAGTATCAAGCTATCCTACCTGGCCTTTGTGCCTCAAAGAGGTTCAAAGATTTTTCATAGAATTAATATAAGTTTTTCCATAAGTACATAGAAGCCTTGGGAGGTTCCTCATGTTATGACTCTTGAGTTTAATTGAAATTGATCAGGGAAAATTAGTGCAAATCTGCCATAAGCAACAAATGGAATTCTAACTGGGAAGGCATTACCTTTGCAAATAAGTTGGGTAACAGATAATTACTTAACTTAGCCATTGCAAAAGCTCTGTAATTTTGTTTCTATCTTTGAACAGGCCCAGCCTATGCACCATGAGCTTGTAAAGAAGATTTTAGGCAACAAAGCCACATTTAGCCCTATTGTCACATTGGAACCTAGAAGAAGAAAGTTTCATAAACCAATTACAATGACTATTCCTGTTCCCAAAGCCTCCAGTGATATGATGATTAATGGATATGGGAATGAGGCACCCACTTTAAGACTACTATGCAGCATTACAGGTAAATTCATGAGAAATACAACCAGAATGCTAAAAATATACAATAATGTTTGCAAATGCATGGAACTTTGTGGAAAGTCTGTGTTTACAATATGCAATAAACTCAACTGTATTGAACTAATATTTTGCACCTTAGAACACAAGTAATGCAAGTAAGCATTTTAACAGATAGAATTAAACTCTTTTCCTAATAATTCATTCTACAAAATAGCTGCATACTCAATAGCAGACGAAATACAAGGACAGATTTGAGTACAATGTTCAAAATAAGAGAAAGTATTGTATCAAAATATTGATTGATTTAATGGTGGACAAATTTGTCCTTAAAATATGAGTGCCATTTTAGGTTCATTTTCTCACACAAATTGATGGAAGAAGATAAGTTTGTTTAGAACTATAAAATATGCACATTTTTTCAACATTTATAAAGTGGGCATACTTTTTGTCTTGTGGATTAAAAAATTCATGTCTGAACCAATCATATTTACATTTCAACAGACAATGATACTAATTAATATGAGACAATTGGAAATGTTTTGATAGCAGCAGAGTGACTGGCTTGATTCTGAAGGAGCTGGGGGTGATAACGGTCAACAGGGAGCTCTGGTCCATGAGGTCATGAAGAGTCAGAAGCGATTGAATGAATAAACAACAACAACATTATATGTTCAACTCTAATTTCTTTGAAGATTTTGTTATTGTTCTTTCTCTTTTTCTTTAGGTGGAGTGACACCTGCTCAGTGGGAAGACATTACAGGAACAACACCGTTAACATTCGTCAATGAATGTGTTTCCTTCACCACAAACGTATCTGCCAGGTACCACATTTATAAGCATATATTTTAATGTTAACACACAATGGATCATTTATACATATGATCCACTGGCTAACTTAAAGCCCATTAAGTTCAATGGAGAAAATATACGAATGTCTAACTCTTAACTTTATTACCATGTTCATATTAAATCCAATCACAAACATCTCACTAAAGTCACAGGGCTGAGTTCAGATGTAGACACATGCTGCTGTGCTGGTATAAGGGGATGTTTATGATCACTCCTTCTCGTGACAGCTCCTCTAGCCCCTGAAAATGATGCACAAAAATTGGGGAGGGGACCACAAATACCCTAAAGGCACCAGAACAAACAATTAGTACTTGTTTGGGAGACTTGTTTGGGAGACCGCCAACCTATAACAGATATTCTAAGCTAAATTTCAAAGGAAAAAAAGGACAGAAACCACCTCTAGATATTCCTTACCTAAGAAAACCGAATGAAATTTGTGGGGTTCCTGCAAATTGACAGTAAATTTGAAAACACATGCATGCACACAATGTTCATAAATAGAATAGGAATCTTGTTTATGTCCTTGAGCAGAAAGAAAATTCAAAATTTAACCTATATCAAAATCTCAAACGTCACCCACCTTTTGTGTTCTTTTTATTTTTTAAAGTTATAGTATAAAAATAAATTGCTGCATGTATGATTAAAATAATTAGTTAATTAAAATGATACTTACATAGTACATCCCCCTGTTCAAGGAGCTCCATTGGCTACCGTTCATCTTCTGGTCACAATTCAAGGTACAGGTTCTTACCTATAAAGCCTTAAACTGTTTGGGACCTGCCTACCTTTGTGATCGTATCTCTCTCCATGAACCAGCCCGAACTCTTCGATCTTCGAGGAGGCCCTCCTTTCACCCTTGCTAGTTTCTCAGGCATGCCTTGTGGGTACAAGGGAGAGAGCCTTTTCTTCTGTCCCCCCCCCCCCTGCTCTGCAGCTCATTGCCTGGAGAGATTAGGAAAGCCCCTACTTTAGAAACCTTTAAAAAGAGATCTCAAGACCAGGCTCTGCCGTTGCACTTTCAGAGAGTAGTCACATAATCTTATGCTATTGCTACCTCAACGCTCTTGCCCTAGGAGTGCTCCCCCCCCTTGTACAAATGTTTGTTTATTTCCCGGTCTCTCTATGAGTTCTCCCTTGCAAATAGTTCTGCCCCTTTATCTCACCCTGAGTTTTAAAATCATTTCATGTACATGCGGCCCGCTCACTGTCATTATGTTTAGTTTACTGTGGTGTGAGTTTTAAAGGCCATTTAAAGTGTATTTATTATATTTTAATCTGTTTTTACCACACTGTTACTATTTAAATGTTTTTAACTTTTGTATTGCACTTTTTAAACTTGACTAAGTGTGGGATTGTTAGTTGCCTTGATCCCCTGCAAGGAGAAAGGTGGGGTATAAATAAAGTTTATAATAATAATTCAGTGCTGAAACCACACCAGCTGTATTTAAACCATAGTTGCTGCCAAAGCTTGTAGTGTAGCTTCCTCCTTCAAACATGGGAAGCAATGGTTAATTAGGTTCCCTTATTTGATTGCTTGTGCTGAATACATGCAAAATACTTGTTTATATCTTTGCTTATTAAACAACATGATCTTCCAACCACTGTGTTTTATACATCTGAGAAAATTATTTCAGGTCTACTTCAAAGCCTGTTTCAAACCCAATGAAGATTCTGTACATAAATGTCTGAGAGATCCTAGGAGTTGTAGTCAAAATAAAATTTTCCAAGCTGTGTTTTGAAATGTTTGCCATTAAGTATTTCTATCAACTAGTATACCAAATACTTGAAATTAATATTGTTATGCAATTCTGGACTTCTTTACAAGTACTGATAATCTTTTCCCCATATTTCATCTTGGTTTATAACTACTTTAACTGTTATGTAATTACAGGTTTTGGTTGATAGACTGTCGACAAATACAGGAATCTGTTACCTTTGCATCTCAAGTGTATAGAGAGATCATCTGTGTTCCCTACATGGCCAAATTTGTAGTATTTGCCAAATCCCAAGATCCCATAGAAGCCCGACTAAGATGCTTTTGCATGACAGACGATAAGGTTGATAAAACTCTAGAACAACAAGAAAACTTCGCTGAAGTTGCTCGAAGCCGGGATGTAGAGGTATGGTATAAGAACATACAACATCAAGTCTTCATTAAATTATATATTTTTTAAACCATACTTTCTACTTTATTTTTAGATTCAGAAATGAGGAGCAGAATGAATGACAAAATTACCTATTTTTAAGTCTTAGGATCAAAATAGACAATATAGTAAATACATAATCATTTGCAGAGATGATATGTTTAAATGTATACAGTTTTCTGAGAAAATGGGAATCCTCAAAATTATTAATCCAAATTAAAACTATTGCACAAAGTTAGTCCTGTTCTGTTTTCTGGATTGGACCAGTATTCTAAATCTTTTTCTGAAGGTGTATTAGTTTTATTATAATGTTATTTATTTATTTATCATATCAGAAGCGAACAGAAGGTACAGTTGTAATGTATGAAAAGAACACAGAGTTTAAAAACTTGGCATTATACTAAATGCCCTTTGACCAGTAGCTGGCCACTTGGAGTGCCTCTGGTGTTACTGTAAGAAGGTCCACCATTGTGCATACGGCAGGGCTCAGACTGCATTGTAATAGGAAGTCTGTGGTTTGCTCTTCTCCACACTCGCATGTCAGAGTGACCAGAAGCAACTTGCAGTATTATAATGCTGAGCGGCATGAGTGACAGTATTATAATGCTGAGTGGCATTATAATGCTGAGTGGCATGGAGTTTCCCACTAGAAGTATCAATATTTGTAAAGAATTCACCAACTACTATTGTGATATTTAGATGCACATTACATTCACACATTAGACTGATGATGTTTTTCATGCAGCATTTCTGCTATGTTTTTTTAAGTGTTTGATTTTCTCTGATTGAATACATTAGTATTGTAATGCTAAATTAAGTGCATTCTATGAATTCAATAATGTAATAAGGGATTCTAGCTTGGTCAATGCAAAGAGTTATAAGAATGTGACCATTAATTCTGTTGTTTATGTTCATTATTATGTTTAGGTCCTAGAAGGAAAACCCATATTTGTGGATTGTTTTGGAAATCTAGTGCCATTAATAAAGAGTGGCCAACACCACATATTCAGTTTTTATGCCTTCAAAGAAAATAGACTTCCATTGTTTGTCAAGGTAATATATTGGAGTTTGTGTTGGGACTTTGTGTTTACTCTGGGATGACAGTTGAAAACATCAATCATCTTGCCGCAGGAATAATGTTTTGTAGACACCATCCAAAAAAAAAGAGTTAGGTTCATAGTGTATTGGACAAATGTCCATGGATTACAGTTCCATGAATGCCATGAAGCAGAATTGACATTCTGTTTGTATATAGATTGGTGGCATGTTTGGGAGGATGTTGGAATTGTCCTTAAGTTCCAAAAATATAGGTGTACATTCAACTTTACTACTGGTCCTTACCATAATGCTAACTCTCCTCCTGACATCCATACATTGAAGCCTCATTGGGGCAGGTGGGGGGGGGGGGTATTACACAGCAAACCACATGTTCATTTGTTTATTTTTTATATTTACAGCTAGAACCAACAGACTAAAAGAAATGCATATATATCCAAGGTCATTAATAGTGATATGCAAATTACTCTTTTTCCATCCTGTGGGTATTCTGGATGGCTAAATACTTTTTCCCACTTAACTATCTGCTGGATGGACAAATTGAATACTTTCTTTCCACTTAAGAGATTTTTCTGCACCATTTTCAGATTCCAATTCCAATCCAATAGGCCTTTATTGGTATATATAACAAGACAGTATAAAATACAGTATAAATTATAGAAAAGGGAACTTCACATTTTCTACACATTCAGTTTACAGACTTGGTTCAGGAACCTTGCCACTGAAAGGCAATGATTAAAATCTTGGCAGTTTAAAAATATAATTATTTTGTCTGGGTTTTTCAAAGAATCTGTAGCTTGTAGTAGTAAGCTAAATCTTAGTTCCTGGTAAAGTGGGCAGTGCAGAAAAATATGCGGGATGGAATCTAGCTGTCCTATGCTACAGGGACAAAGTCTCTTATTGCTCGGTAGACTGTTGAATCTTCCTCTATGGAGCGGGGATGGCATAATATTAAATCTAGCCAGCATGCAGACTCTCCTGTGTGAGGGGTTAGTGAGCACTGCAATATAAAAGGCTGGGTTTCCCTGTATGAATGGATTGCCATGTTCATAGGTGAACAGGATTTATTGGCCAAGATCAGCAGTTGATTATAATCCCTTTCTAGCAACATCTTTTTGATGAGGGTAGAGATCCCGGTGAAAGTTAGCATGTTCAAGAAGTCACTATCATAGCCCAATTCCCCAAACTTTGCTAGGACTGTTGTGCACCATTTTGAGTTGTGGAGTTGGGTCAAAGAGTTGCTGGGGCTTTGATAGTGAATATATAGCCAAAATCTTATGATGTTTAGCCAGATAGTTGCCAGATAGTGGCCTCTATAGAGTATTGGCCAGATTCTAGGCATAGAACTGCGTATGGGACGATGTTTGAGACGCTGAATAATTTATGGAGGAATTTTGTGTGGAAAGCTCTCATGGCACTATTATTAGGGGTTAACCAAATGGGAGTGACATAGAGTAGTTGTGCTATCGCCTTTGCTTGAAAAACGTGCAGAGCTGGGGAGATATATTGGTTGCCTCTAGAGTGGAAGAACCTCCTGATGGCACTGTCACTTGATTGAGCTCATGACAGATTGTTACTGAACCAAAGACCTAGGTATATGAAATTTTTAACTTGCTCAATATAGTGGCCCTTTAAACCTTTTTCAAATTATTTCACTTTCAATGTAAGTAACTATGATGGCATAGCAATAAAGTTCAAGCCATGGCCACCTAGTCCTAGCTTTTGTGTAAACTAGTCACGTATATAATTTGATCCATTGATCTAGAACACAAATTCAGATTATAAACTACACTTGTTTAATGTAATTATTTTTAGTTCACCTGTATTTATTTTTAGTCACTTTTGCCTCACTCTGAATATCAAGATTTTGTGTAGCAGAGACATTACTATTCATAAACCATCTTAATGACAAAATGAGCACCAAATAACCGTTTCCTTAAACAACACATTGAGCACCAAATAACTGTATTGTTGAAGGCTTTCATGACCAAAATCACTGGGTTGTTGTAGGTTTTTCAGGCTGTATGGCCATGTTCTAGAAGCATTCCCTCCTGATGTTTTGCCTGCATCTGCGGCAAGCATCCACAACCTCTGAGGATGCCTGCCATAGATGCAGGCAAAACATCAGGAGGGAATGCTTCTAGAACATGGCCATACAGCCTGAAAAACCTACAACCCACCAAATAACTATTTACTAAAAATGTCTTTTATATAATATTGAATTGAATATATATGGCATATATGATAAACAGTATACCCTCATGCTTCTTGCAGTAAGAAGAAAGTGAATTCAAATGCAGAATTACAAATATCTAAATGAGGAAATCTTCTGGTTATTAGAATCCTAATCTGATACAGACTGTCTTGACATTACCCAGTGAAGCAGTTTATTTACAGGTCCAGGAACTATCAGCTATAATTTAGATCTATAAATCAACTCCAGATTTTTTAATTCACTTGAAGTTTCTAGTAAGAATACCATAGCTCTGGATAAATATGACTTTATTTTAGAGCCGTGGTTACCTGAGCAGTTTATATATACTTAGTATTGAAAATGCTTAAAGATACAGAGCATGATAATCTTTTCATCTCCTGTTGATCTATTAATAAACTAGGATTTTTTAAAAAAGTGCTTGCTTTTTTCTGCACTAGGTTCGAGACTCAACTCAAGAAGCTTGTGGACGCTTGTCATTCATGAAGGAACCCAAATCATCAAGGGGCCTAGTGCATCAAGCCATCTGCAATCTGAATATCACATTACCAGTTTATACAAAGGTATTTCACAATACAAAGCCACAACCTTTATTGAACAGATATCTCAAAGTATGAGAGGGCTGTTCTTTATTGCACCACAACTTGTAATCTACTTGCAACATTATTATCTATAGATATATTTGGGATGTCACGGTCTATGTGAATTTTTTATTTTTATATAGACTGTATACATTAGAATAATTTATTTTCCAATGGTTCTTGATTTCTCCTGAGCACTCAGAATTAATCAAAAGTCTTGTATTCATTAATCATGGTCTGGCATTCATTCATTTCCTGAATAATCTCTAATACCATGCCAGTGTGGTGCCATAATTTTAGTGGTGAACTAGGATTCTGAGAGATCACGGGGAAGGCAATAGGAAATGCTTGGAAAAAATCCTGTGAAGAAAACCCTATGATAGGGTCACCATACTTCAGAGCTGCCTTCAAGGCACTTAACAACCAACTAATAATAGGGTTTCTATATACCAGCAGCCGAGTTTGGAAGACCAAGCTCCCATGATTCTTCAACCACAATTTTGGTGTTGCAGCCAATCTTTTGGGAGGGGAATATTTATATCACAAAGTGACTTCAGTATCTTGGTTTTCTTACACAACCTTCTTTTGTTCCCACAAACCAATCTGTAATCATTCCATTTTGAACATTACAGTTTTCACTTGTTAATCAGTCAGTGAAGCAATAGGATACTTTTCAAAGACATTCAAGCCTGATACCTAAATAAATGCGCTAGCTTCTTTAATAGCTAACCACAATCAACAAAAAGCTAAGATTTGCAATAAATAAATAAATAAATCTTCCTTTAAAAACTGTAAGTCCCTAACTTTTCTAAATGACACTGACTGTCATGTTCCCTTTCCCTCTTCCTTTGAGAAAAGTTCTTACCAACTGAATGTGACCAGAAATCACTCTTGTCCTTTAACTGTATCCTCTCTTTCTTTGCTCTGTTTTTCCCTTTTCTTGCATGGCATATTTGGCTTAAAAGGAATCTGAATCAGATCAAGAACAGGAAGAAGAGGTAATTCTTCTAATACCTTATTATTCTGTGAAATGACTGTGATGATGGGCTAAATAGTCATGCATACATAGAGAAATGCATACACAGCAGCAATCTTCTGCTACTCATTTGATCATACAATGCTAAAGAGAAATTCCAAAGTGCCATGAGTGGCTTTTTATGGTGGTGAGGTGGGATGTAGAAAAAAAAAAACACTGTGCACATGCTTTGAATGTCATTGCTTTTCTTTGCATTTCTAAAATGGGGAATCTTGGCCACTGGCTATGAGAAATCTTTGTTGTAAATTAATATAAATATGATTATACATTTTTGGATGCTAACAAAATATGACAGATGACAAACTTGCTGGTCTTGTTCTGATGTAGCACTAAATGGTTTAGCAAATGTACAACTCACAGGCCCTGGGCTGTTCTAGATCCCCCCCCCCCCCATGTGCTCATCACCATTAAACTGGCCACCACAAACTGCACTGGTGGAAGCGTGGCTGCTTCAAGGGAGCAGCACAACATAAAGTAACAGTGTGATAGAACAGGGCTCCATCTTACTGGGATACTTGCCAACATTCTTCTTTCCAAGTATTTCTCAGATTTGGTGGTAGCTCCGTAATGACAGCCATAGTGACAGCAATGATGGAAAAAGGATAAGGCTAGCCTTTGTAGTCTGCTCCCCCACAGCTACCTCTTAGGATAGTAGCTGTTACCCCAGGTATTCACTAACTGCAGTTTAACTTTGTGTTGGAATCCCAACAAATTATGGTTAATCTTGATTAGTATAATGGTACAAGCCAACTGCAAATGACATTTTAAGGTGGAATTGTTTCAGTAAACCATGCTTCTGTTTAACTATAGTTTAGAGTCCAGTCATAATGCTAAAATGAAATTAAGCAATACTCAAAAAGAAAAGTTTCTTCTCAGTTATGGGAGGATGAAGAACATGAGACTCATTCTCATAATGCACACAAAGGGCCGGGTGAGGGATACATACCACCTCCGAGGACCGAGACACCCTAAGACACCTTGGGGTAGATTTTTGTAAGCATAAAAAGGTGTTTTCTGTTCTTCTTTTCTTTGTTGACCAGTTCTCCATGTCAGTTTTAGTGGCACTATTTTGAATTTTAACTTTCAGCTTAAATGTAACAAATTTACAATTTTTTTTGTTATATTTTCTAATAGCAATGAAAAAAGAATATACTACCCAGGTTCACATATTTAAAACCATTGATAATTGCATCACAATTCCTTTAGTTTTCACAATAAATTAAGCTGTTAACTTAAATGATCCAGACTATGGTTTTCATTTGCACATGACAGCAGTACACCAAATCCACCGTAACATAGCTAATGTTTCTGGTAATAAGTCCCAATAGTTATTCTCAGTCAGGGATACTATAACTGTTTTATTGTGTGTTCTCTTTCAGACTGAGATGACATCAGAAAAACGTAAGATTTTAACAAAATTTTAATCATGCATACTAAAGTTTTCTAATGATAAAATTAAGCATGAGAAATACTAAAATCTCTAAATAATATTCAAGTTCTAAAATAGAGAAATGTAATGATATGCTTTTAGAGAAAATGCTTTACTTATTTAACTTGTTACTAATAACTGACTTTAAAGTACTAAGACAGTTCATCTAAGCGTTCCCTTTACTTTTGACATCCCTTGATTACCCTGCTATTGCTATTAGGCTTGTATAAAATCCCCACATTATTTTTTTAGTTTTCTTTATGTATGTCTGTTGACATAAAACCATTGCATCTTACAAATCAATTACAGTATCACCTTAAAAAAATAAAATTTCCTAAAGTACTTACTAAAACTCCACATGCAATATGCATGTGTGTGATACTGTGTTAAGTAACAAAGATCCATACCTTAATTTCAACCCTCAAGTACTCTGGTGAAGTATTTCTAGAATCCATGTTCATTGCTCAATTTTTGTCTAAAAAATAATGATTCCTTCAATGGGTAATGGAGCAGAGTAAGTAAACAGAGCCTATGCCATTCTTGGCCTTCTATATATAAGAAACTGTAAAATACTTTGCAAAACCTGAAATATTTCAAAAATAGAAACCTGATAAAGAACCAATACTTCACCATAGTATATTACTCATGATTTTATGGTTTTTCCATTTATAATCATCTAGTTTTTGTTTTGTTTTTTTTAATATAAGGATACTTACCCTGCAATGTATGCAACAGCTTTGCTTTGCATGGAAATAACTTGGCTTACATATATATTGTGTGTATGTTTGTGTTTGTGAGCGGACATGCCTTGTGTGAAGATATTTGATTGTCATTCATTACATTTTCCCCTGAACGTTGAATTCCCTGTTGAGACAATCAGTGTTTAAATTAAACCTCCCACTTGTCCTTCCATTATTCTTATTAATCATTATTAATTATTATTACTTTCCCTTGATTTATTCATTATTTGTTTGAATAATGAGGTTGTTCCAAGGAAAGGACCATGCCTCGTGAAATTAAGCCTGTGTGTCTGTACCATCATTTGGATGTTAAGAGTCCCCTTAGATGAAATGCCGGTTTGCAGCTACCTCAGATATCAATGTGTTTCATTTACTGTAGAGTACTGTGCAATTCAGTGTAAACATTTATATATTTATTTTGCTCATTAAACAAAACTTTACATCCCTTAATCTAATTATGGTTCTGAAGTTTGCTACCACTGGCTTTCTCTTTGAGGAGATCAGCTGTCAAGCAACTACAGTCTTTCCCTCTCCCTTCCCTTTGTTCTGTTTTTATTTGGACATTGATCTGTAACATCTGAACAATCTTGAGATGTCTTTCTTTGTGTAAAATCCACTCTTTCTTTTCCCCCTCCTCACCTTTGTTTTTATGGTGTCCTTGGTTTATAAAAGCTTTGGTGTTGTATGTGTGGGTGTGCTGTACCGCAGAGATTAAGCAAGTTATTTCCAGCCCACTTTTCCTTTTCAGTTTTTCCCTGTTAGCTTTGCTTTGCTTTTTTTTCTTCACCCTCAGATTTGTGGATCCACCATACCCAGACCATTTTGTTGACCCTCCTACTGCTGCAATCAAAGACAGTCATTACAGTCCTGATTACGTTTTTTGAATCTCTATTTTTGATTTCCATTTATTTTCAATGTTTTTCCCCATTTGCATCAAAGATGATGATGAAACAGAATCTACAGAAACATCTATCCTGAAAAGTCACCTTGTCAATGAAGTTCCTGTCCTAGCCAGTCCAGACTTGCTATCCGAAGTCTCTGAGATGAAACAAGATTTAATTAAAATGACTGCCATCCTGACAACAGACTTATCAGAAAAGCCAGGCTCCATTAAGGTGAAAGATTTTGCAAAAGCTGCTGATGAAGAACCTGGAGAGCCCTTCGAGATTGTGGAAAGAGTGAAAGAGGACTTAGAAAAAGTAAATGAAATTCTGAGAAGTGGAAGCTGCCCGAAAGAAAAACGAGTTCTTCAAAGATCCAGCTCAGGAAGAGAAGTGGTAGAAGAAGAATGGGTTATTTTAAGTGATGAAGAAATTGAAGAGGCCAAGCAGAATGTTCCTTTAGAAGTCACTGAGCCACTTTGTACGGAAATGAGAATAGGAAAAGGAAAAACACAGAAAGGAACAAAAGATGCAACTGGAATGGTAGATTACCTCAGTGGTGATCTAAAAGCTTTTGTGTCTTTGAATGAAGCGCATCCAAAGACAATTCAGGAAGACATAGTAGGAGAAAAATGTGAAGCTGTTATTTTAAGCAGAGATTCTGAACCAAGTAAGGGAGACCAAGAGAAACAAAGGCAACACAAACCTACCTTGGAAATTAAAAAGCCTGTTAGGAAAAAATTAAAAGATAAACAAAAGGCAAAGGATGAAGAAACCCAAGGAAAAGAAAAACATTCAGGGCTAACTAAATTCAGCTCTGAAGAGTCATTAGATGAAGAGTCAGGCTTAGCCCCTGAACAACCTGCCAAGGCAACTGCTGTGTCTCCTGTTGTAGAGGAAACTCCTATTGGTTCTATCAAAGATAAAGTAAAAGCCCTTCAGAAGAAAGTAGAAGATGAGCAGAAAGGACGTTCAAAATTGCCTGTCAGGGCCTCAGGAAAAGAAGGGACAACTGAGAAATCTGTTACAAAGCCGGCACAAGCTAAGAAAATCATTTACAAAGCAAAGGCTCCAGCTTGTCCCCCTGCCTCAAAGGCTGCAGCTTCTCCACCTATCTCAAAGGCTCCAGCTTCTCCCTCTTCAACAAAGACTCCAGCTTCTCCCTCTCCATCTAAACTCTCCTCTCCCTCTACCAAGAAGCCAGCTGTTTCTCCCACTTCTAAGAAGCCCCCTGTTTCTCCCACTACTAAGAAGCCTGCTGTTTCTCCCACTTCTAAGAAGCCTGCTGTTTCCCCCACAACTAAGAAGCCCCCCGTATCACCGTCTTCCAAAACAGAAAGACTCGAAGAGACTATGTCTGTTCGTGAACTGATGAAAGCATTCCAGTCAGGTCAAGACCCCTCAAAGCATAAGGCTGGACTTTTTGAGCATAAGTCTATAAAGCAAAAACAGCAAGCTGTTGACAAAGAGCCAGCTAAGAAAGGTACTGCTCAGGCAGAAAGTGAAAAGAAGCAGGCCCTTACACATAAAGAGACCCCCAAAAAAGACAGCCCCAAAAGCAAACGGGGTCAGGAACCTCAGGCAGAAACAGGTTTGCAATTGAAAAAGGAAGCAAAGAATATAACTCTGAAAAAAGGTTTAGCCACACAGCAGGCAAAACAGCAGAGTAGCAAAACCACAGGAAAAAAATCCCCAGTTGACGAAAGTTCTAAGAATGTAGCCCTGACCTTTGATGACCAAGGGGACACTGACCTCCAGATCAGTCCAGACAGAAAGACATCAACAGATTTTTCCGAAGTCATAAAAGAAGAGCTTGAGGACAATGACAAATATCAACAGTTCCGGAACATTTCAATTACCGAGGAAGGTGAGCTTCACTTAGATCAAGTTCTGACCAGTCCATTCAATGTTACATTTCCATCAGAATATGTGAAAGATGGGTTTTTGCCCACTCTCTCCTTGCAAAGTGGTGCTTTGGATGGCAGCTCAGAAAGCCTTAAACATGAAGGTATAGCCGATTCTCCAGTTGGTAGCCTGCTTGGTGGAACCCCTCAGAACAGCTCTGAGGAAAGTTACAAGCATGAGGGCTTGGCTGAAACACCAGAAACAAGCCCTGAGAGCCTCTTATTTTCATTAAAGAAATCAGACATTGCTGACCAGATGGAAGAAACAGAACTAGCCAGTGCAGTACAGCGAACAGCAGAGACACATTCACCAAAGGGACTTTCTCCAAATGAAAGTGAAAAGACTGTTGCTGACCAAGAACTAAAGGCTGTCACAGAGATCTCAGAGTTCCATTTCCATCATTTATCAGAAGAACAAGTTACAGCCTCCAAAGAGGAGATAGGGAAGTATATTGATTCTAGCTCAACTTCAGTTAGTAAAGATGTTATCAGGGATGAGTTATCTGTGACTGTTGATCAAGGACATTTAACTGAATTATCTGAAATACATACTTCTTCTTTAGAGAAAGATGAGGGTGGATCCTTGGAGCACCATGCCATTAGTAAAGGACTGGAACTTTCACTTCCTATCAATGACAGTGAAGGTCTTAGTCCAATTGCAGATGAGTCCATAGCTATAAGCCATAAAGATTCTCTGGAAGCAAGCCCAGTGCTTGAAGACAATTCCTCACGTAAGACACCTGACTCACTTGAACCTAGTCCTACCAAAGAATCCCCCTGCCGTGATTCCCTTGAAAGCAGTCCTGTAGAAGAGAGGATAAAGACTGGCATGCTTCCAGGGCCTGGTCCCATTCAGACTATCCTTGCCAAAGCAGAGAATTTCCCAGAGCTCACACCTATGAGATCAAGACTGTTACGTGACCCTGATGGGAGTGCTGAAGATGATAGCTTAGAACAAACATCACTTATGGAAAGTTCAGGAAAAAGCCCTCTTTCACCTGAGACTCCAAGCTCTGAGGAAATTAGTTATGAAATCACGCCCAAAATGACAGATTCGCATGTGTTGTCAAATATACCCAAGTCAGCTGTGATTCCTGAAGTTAATGAAGAACCAGAAGATGATCCAGAAGGTGAGCCAAAAAAACGGTTCACACCAGAAGAAGAGATGTTTAAGATGGTGACTAAAGTTAAAATGTTTGATGAGCTGGAACAGGAAGCAAAACAGAAGAGAGACTATAAAAAGGATTCCAAACAAGATGATGTTGCTTCACCTTCCGATCTGGAAGCTGCTTCTGAAGTTGAAATTGCACCCTCAAGTAATACAGAGGACAGTTCTATACCTACTGTAGTGACTTCTGCAGTTGATACTAGAAAGTCGTCTTCCTCTTCTGAAAGTGAGCCTGAATTAACAAAGCTGAAAAAAGAAGCAGACTCTGGGCTGTTAATGGAGCCTCTAATTAGAGTGCAGCCTCCATCACCCCATCTTGGCAATATGGATTCCAGTTCTAGTCCAGAAGAAACAAGCTTTCAGCCTATTGAATCTAAACAGCATGCATTCAGTACTGAAGAGGATAATACAGAATCAGATAAGCCAACAGAGGAAACAAAAATGTCTGGTGATACATCACTTGCCTCGGATGCTAGTATCATAGCACAAGCCAGTGAATCCAAGTGCTACAGCACAGATGAGAGTGATACAGTTAGTCCAAATGGCCCTGTGATGCCACCTGAGGAGTCTTTCTACCATTCTAATGGTGATGGTGCTCTAAAAGAAGCTGAGTCATTTGAAAACTCAGTGACATCACATCACCACGATGACTCAGAAAAAGATTTTACAGCAACGGAAGATGTGCCACACAGAGGCCCATTTCCTGCAGGAACAAAAGAGGGTTCCTGTCAGCCTGGTACCTTTCATTGCTGTACACCACAACATTGTGAATTGGCTACTGTTGTTTCACCTGTTCACTCTCCTCTAGGATGTGATGTGTCAGGAACTGATAATGATTTTGAGATGGTACAAAGGGATTGTTGTAGTCCAGAGCACGCCAAAGAATATTCATCTCTAATCATTCAAAAAGAGGAATGTGAAAGTAATGTAGAAAATAATGCTGAAAGTAGTGCTCTGCCTATAACAAGCCCTTATGAAAATGTTCCTTCACAACATTTTTTTACTAATACTGAAATTAGAACAGAAATTGATTTAAGGACAACATCAGACCAATTATCTAGAGATGATCATTATGGTGAAACAGAAAATACCTTGACAAAATCCATGTATAGATCAGAATCAGCAGGTTCTGGGGATCAGACCTCAGAGGAAATCTATATGGAGATAGAATCTAAACAGGTGGACATCTTTCATAAAATGCCATCTCCAACACCTACAAGATCAGACCCTGCAACACTTGATGATGAAGCTTTACAAGATATCCGAGATGAAGCTGAGAAAATAATAAACCAAGTAATCATAACCAGGACAGATGTGGATTCTGATAAGTGGAGTCAAATACGTGAAGATGATGACGTATTTGATGCTCGTGTAAAAGAGGAAGAACAAAAAATATTTGGTTTAATGGTAGATAGGAGATCACAAGGCACTACACCTGATACAACACCAGCTAGGACTCCTACAGAAGAAGGAACACCCACCAGTGAACAAAACCCTTTCCTTTTCCAGGAGGGAAAATTATTTGAAATGACAAGGAGTGGTGCCATTGACATGACCAAAAGGAACTATTCTGATGAAAACCTACACTTTTTCCAAATGGGAGAACATTCTCAGGAAGAGGTATCGTTATCTGAAGAAATGAAAGAAGCTGAAGTCCTAGAATCTGCACAGCAGGATCAAACCTCAATTCAGTCTGCATCTTCTGAACTGGGTAAAGCAGAGATGCATACAAAAGATTCACAGCTATCTGTATCTGAGGATGAGGCCAGTGGCTTACATAGCACAAAGGGGGATATTAAATCTAGAATTCCTATTAAAATGGGTATTTCAGCATCTTCAAAATCACCAAAGAAAGAAACTGTTGCTTCTGATGTTGATTCCATTTATACACTTGACACAAGTGACACGTTAGATAGCTCCCAGAAGCCTTGCCCTTTATCACCCGAGCAGACTGTGATTGATGTGCAGTTAAATTTTTCAACAGTCACTAGGTCTGTATATGCAGAACAGGATGATTCCCCAGACTCCTCTCCTGAGGAACAGAAATCTGTAATTGAAATCCCTACTGCTGTCATAGAAAGTGTGCCTTCTTCTGAAAGCAAATCCAAAATCCCAGTTAGGGCAGATCCCACTACAACCCACTCATTACACCAGTCAGAACCCATAAGCCTCCCTTCAGTTGGCCTGGCAGACAACCTAGAAGAATCACAAGATGATCCATCCACACCAAAGTCTAAGATCCCAGTCAAAGTAGTTTTCCAAAGAGTTGAGCAAGAGTGTATGTACACCGAAACATCAGTTTGGAAGCCAGAGTCATCTAAATCCCATGACATAACATGCACACTACCTATGAAACAAGACATCAGGAGCAAATCTGAATCTGATGCAAGTGTCTCCATGGACCCAAAGGCTAAGCGTTCAGTCAAAGCTAGAAGTTATGCTGAGGCAGAAGCAGAGGCCAGAGAGAGGGGGGGTGACACGAACCTTGAGCTAGAATCAGACGAGCTGATGACTGCACGACCAAAGATACTTTCTTCACGGTTACCTGTTAAGAGCAGAAGCACCTCCGCTTCCCACAGTGCTGTTAGTCCCTCAAAAGAAAGTAAGGAACATTTTTTTGATCTTTACAAAAACTCCATAGAATTCTTTGAAGAGATTAGTGATGAAGCTTCCAAGTTAGTGGATAGACTTACACAGTCAGATAAAGAACAAGAATTAGTTTCAGATGATGAAAGTAGTAGTGCCCTAGAAGTTTCGGTTATTGAAAATGTGCCATCCATTGAGACCCTGCAGTCAGTTGCCGAGGACATCTTTGACACCAGGCCCATTTGGGATGAGTCTATTGAGACTCTGATTGAGCGTATTCCTGATGAAAATGTCCCTGACCATGTTGAAGGTATTTGACAGCCATTGGGATACCCTTTGCTACGCATGTCATGAATCGCAATTCTTTGCTTGATGTTTCTTTTCTTGTTTCCCCTTTGCTTCTTGTGTGTAGTATGTCTCTCTCTCTCTCTCTTTTGTTTAAGCTTTCTGTGATTGTTAATGTGCTTTGTGTAAGTTCTGTTTGTTTTGTGTTATATCAGTAATTTTATTGTCCCCGAAACAATCTCAAGATTGCACACTGCAAATGCTTATGAGAAGCATAATCATAGCAAAATAGAATTTAGTTCTAAAAAGCACACAACATTTGTTCATGTTGCTTAACACTAACAAACTTAACTGCATTATTATTTCACTTGTAGTACAGCTGACCGTGCAAGTTTTAGTTTTTGATTTTTCTTCACTCTAGTCAAATCTTTTTGTCATAAAATACTTTTGACACAGAAAAAACAGGTAAGAGTACTGTTATTCTGGATATGGAGATCCATTTATCTGTGCCAAAAGCAAATGCCATTGCAGTTGGGGAAAAATATGTTTATTGCCTTCTTTCCTTGACATCAATTAATTAAACTCTATCCTCAAGCATTGGATTATGGACTTAATTCTGTCCAATTTAGTGAGCAAATGTTCCTATCATTTCTTTAAAATTTACTTCCTATAATAATGCAAAAGAGCAAAAAGAACAAGATATTAAAACTGAATTGACATCTTTCCTGGCCTTTTTATGAGATCCAAAATAAATATGTGGGAGAAAAAAAAACTCGAACTTTGCTGGTGTCAGATTGGCTGCTTGAATTATCCATTCTTGCTGCTTTGGTGCAAATTGCCTCAAAAATCATGCTCTTGCTTTTCCATGCCTACTTTCTAAGAATTGGGAAACTCTATCAAACTTTTTAACTTAGGGTTAAACATCACACTAAATGTTAAGTTAGGGAGATACACTAGCTTAGAAGTACTCGTAAGTAGTTCGTCACAAAAATACAGAAAGCAAACCAGAAAACGGAACTTGGGACCACAAGTATGTGTGTGTGTGCTGGCTGTTTGCCGCTAATGGAAGAGGCATGGAAAATGCATTTCTTGCCCCAGCAAAATATTTATCTCTTTGTTCTGTTTTGTTTTTGTTTCACTTTAAGTGTATGGGAACATAAGAGGAGCTCCAAAATAAAATTTAGGACAGTGTTTCCAAGACTTCTAACAGCTTTTCCTGCACTTGATTGAGTAGTCATTAGTAATAAACTACTGAGTACATCAATTTTTTCAGTGTAGCCATATTATCAGTGTAGCCTTTCGCTTCCCATTAAAGCAGGACTATTTAAACACTGGCCTTATTTTATGGAGTCTCCTTTCTTGAAGAAGGCCACCTTTTCTAAAAGTCTGTTCTGTTTAACCTTGTTTTAGATCAACAGGATGATCGAGAAAGGACAGAAGAAAGACTAGCACATATTGCTGATCATCTTGGATTCAGTTGGACAGGTAAAGTACAGGCAGTCACCGAGTTGCAAATATCCAACTTACAAATGACTCATAGTTAAGAATGGAGGTGAGACAATAGGAAGTGTGAAAAATCTGTTTGTTTATTTTGTCTGATGTATAATTGTGTGGCATTGAATTGTGCCTTAAATGTCAGCCGTTCTGAGTCCCTTTCGGGGTGAGAAGGATGGGGATAAATATAGCAAATAAAATAAATAAATAAATCTACCCCTTGGAAGGGAAATTTATTCCTGAAAGAGTTGACATGGGTAAAAGCTGTCTCAACTGATGCTTTATCACCCATCATTGTTTTCACAGCAAACCACTGGATTTTTCAAAATCCAATTATCACACGGACAGAAAGTGTCCCATCTTGTTCGTAACTTGGTGAATGCCTGTGCAGTCTAAACTGAGATCATAAAAAGGAGGAAGAGAGTTCAGTTAGAATGTTTGATTTATGCTTTTGCAACAGGCATGCTATTCTTGCTTAACTCGGGGAAAATGTGCAAAATTCTGGCACAGATAAAGGAAAGGTATTTTTTCCACACCTGGTAAACTATTGTATTGATCTGAAAGCAGACAATAATGAGGATGCTTGCCATAGATGCAGGCGAAACGTCAGGAGAAATGCCTCTAGAACATGGCCCTAAAGCCCAAAAAAACCCACAAGAACTTAGTGATTCCAGCCATGAAAGCCTTCGACAATACAGACAATAATGCCTTCATTATTTGAATGGAGGAAAACAGAATAGAGCTTCAACCTCTAATTTTCAACTGAGATGCATGAAATGTGAATGAAAATAGGCCAAATTATGTTTTAAATCTAATGGAGTTATATAGAGAAGACATCTGTATGTATTCCATCTGTCAGGGGTGATTTGAGTGCAATATTCCTGCTTCTTGGCAGGGGGTTGGACTGCATGGCCCATGAGGTCTCTTCCAACTCTTTGATTCTTTGATTCTATAAAACACAACTCCTGGTTTGGAAATGAAGCCAAACACCTAAAATGGCTTGGATAACTAGCAGAACAATTAATCTAAATAAACAAATAGACAACAAGGGTAAGTAGCTAAAACTGTAGTTGTATCAAGGAAGTCCTGATTTGAGATACTACATTTGCAGTCTCAGACACCCTTATAGAAAGAAGAGTGGACAATACTGTTATTTTAAAAACATACTCATAGATATGAATGTGTCCATCAGAGCATCATTCAGTAGAGTTCTTCCTCCTGATAAAATAAACCATTAATATTGTTTTAGAATAATTTGTAAACATCACATAATCTTCTAGAGCTCTCCTTCCTCAATCTGTCTCAAGACTAGGATCATGCAGATGGTATGTCATTTCCCCAAGAGATGTTAAAACTGGGCTGGAGAAAAAAAATCAGTTAAAAAAAACCTCCCAGCATTCATAGAAGACAAATGAAAAAATGCATTGTGGGATATTTTCATTTAGAGTAATAAAAACGTTTTAGTCAAATTTCTATATTTTTAGCCCTCCACCCCTATTATTTCTAAAAACAATTGGTACTTTTATGTACAGTATATCTCACATTTGTTAATTTCTGGTGTTGGTTTCCTTTTCACAGTTCTTTTTACAGCAATGCTATTAGGAGGAAAATTATCTGTATTTACAAATATTCATGGTTTCTTCTATTTTTTTTCTACTCTTCAGAGATTGGCAAAAAGCATAGGCATTCCATAGTATAGTTCAGGTTTTCTTTATGATTTAGGACCCTGCAATTCCATTTGAAAAAGTAAATACAATATTCAGATTATTTTCTTTGATATATCAATCATGATACTTTTGTGCCAAGCCAAGTAAAGTAAAATACATGTTACGTTCCTAAACTAACAACGTAACTTTCCATCTTTAAAATTCGAATAATCCTTCATTTCTTCCTAACTACATAAATCTGGATTTTTCTTCTTTTTAAATTTTTTTTACATCACTAATCTATCATCTTGCCCCTGCTTCCCTGCCCCCCCCCCAACCCAGTTTGTTGTAACATTTTGCCTCATGAACATTAACTAGACCAATGTTGAGTTTTAAAGGGCCAGTGAGATTATTTTTCTGGTAAGTGGTAAGTATTTTAAAAGAATGCACATTCAGTGATTTACATCATTTGTACTTACAGAACTAGCAAGAGAACTAGATTTCACAGAAGAACAAATTCATCAGATCCGAATTGAGAATCCTAATTCATTGCAGGACCAGAGTCATGCACTGCTCAAATATTGGCTGGAAAGAGATGGGAAACATGCCACAGGTACGTTCATTTTTAGCAGATAAAAATTCATTTCCCTGAAATGGAATCTTACGTGGTCTTTCACTAAAGATTGTTGAGGAAATGTACATTTTCTTTAATATAGCCAGCATCTTGAAGCTGCAGTAATATCTAACAGTAACTCTCACCACACACACAACATATTAATAATTTCAAATTAATGTATCATCTCTTAGTTTAATTATTGAAACTGCTGGGATTTTTGATCTTCTGCTTAAATGCAGCCAAAGGGTAGAATAAGAACTAGAAATAAAAGAGCTCAGCTTGTATGGTGACATCAGAATTGGAATAAGAAAGAATTAGTAGCTCAGAGGGATACTAAGAATTATTATTAATCCACTGTGAAGAAGTTTAACCATGGTGTGATTAGTAATGTAGTTCACACAACACAACTGGTGTCCCATGTTGTAATCTTGACAAAATTGGTGTCAGTATGGGAGCTTGGCAATATTATTGTTAAGGAATCATCTATGCCGGAAGAGAAAGTCTTTCTTCCGGCTGTTGTTTGCAAGATCAGTGGCAAGATCTTCAGTAGAAGACAGTCATGGTATTTGTACATTGGTAAGTGTGACTCCCATATACAAATACAGTGATTGTCTTCTGCTGAAGTAGGTTTGACTCTCATAGGCCTAAATATCATGAAGGCACCAGATCCCATCTGATCTTGGAAGCTAAACAAAATCAGGGCTGAATAGTACTTAGATGGGAGACCACCAAGGAATACCAAATGTTATAGGCTATATTTTAGAGAAAGGCAATGACAAACCACCTCTGAGGATTCCTTGCCTAAGACACTCTTAAGTAATTCATGGAGTTACCAGTAGTTGACATACTCATATACAAACATGGAAAAGCTCACATGTAGTTCTTTGCCTTGATTAGTTGTAATGGAACTGATGAGGTTGCTGCTGCCAAAGACATTTATTGGCCACATGTCTGAAACAGTCTTGATTCCTGCCTACTCAGTCCTTTCTGAAATCAGAACCAGTGATTCTGTTTTACCATTAATATGGTCATTTGAGCATTTCTGTAGTTTTGCTCCCTGACAGACAGATGATAAAGAGATGGCAAGAAAAGGTGATTCATGTCTTTCATTTATTGGGAAGTATTTTTTTCCAATACGCTGGGGTCCTTTTAGAAGATTATCAATCTCTTTACATTGTAATTCCTTAGAAACATTTTATATCTTACAATTAATCTGTGATAGAACACTTCTCACTAGAATGAGATCTATTTCTGCTTTCTCCATAGGCATTTTTCATTGATGATTTATGTAAATCTCTCATATGAACCACGCTGCCACTGTATGAGACACGGTCTCACTGTGCATACATGGGCAAATTAGAGGTTGGGTATTTTTCAAAAGTTTGTTTCCGGAAGGAGTTTGAATCTTGAAGAATATAGATAGAGCCATTTTAAATCAGGTTGGCGGCAACTGAGGTGTTATATTATACATTAGCTCTATATGTTCAACATTGGTTCTCAAAGACTTTGGGAATATCAATAGGACAAAGAATCCCATGCATACCAAATATACATATATACACAAGTATATTATTCACCTCTTCATTCAGTATAATAATTTTGGTCTAATTACTGAAAATACTGATTGATACGCAATATTTTTTCTTTTGTGAATTTGGGAGAAGTCCATGCAACTCATATAAATACTATCTCTTCTGTATTACAGATTCAAGTCTCACTGATTGTCTTACAAAAATTAATAGAATGGATATTGTTCACCTAATGGAGAGTAATGTGGAAATGGTTCGAAATCATGGTCGTACTTATGCAGAAATTGAACAGTCAATGGGATTGGATCACAGCGAAGGTAGGGATCAGTTTACACACTCATAGAGATAACTTAATATCTCACTTTGTTTCAAAGATTACACATCACAGAGTTTTCATGTCAGTTCATTTCACGACAAGCACAATGCTTTTTACTATGGACGTTTAGGAACTCAGATATGAGTCACCCCATGTTAAACCATTGAATGTTGACCTATCAACTGTTATGTGTGTGTTTTGGCAACATATATAAATGCTGTTGTGTGTCCTAGTTTTGGAGGTGTCATGAGTCAAGCTTAAAAGCTGAACATAAAAGATCTATATCCAATGACTCTTGCACTACAGTAGATCCATTGAAATATAAGGGTCCATTAAAATGAATTATTGGCCCTAATTCAGTTGGACTTGCAATTTGATTTATACCATAGCATGATCAAAAATACAATTAAACAGATGTTTGCTTTTGGATATATGGAGAACTTTATCTAGATGAAATTTTGAGGTTTTTATGACCTAGCCATAAAACCTGCTTTAGATATAGGCTTTGAATACATTACTATGTATTACTTCATTTCTAGGATTTTCAGCACTCCATGAAGACCTGTATAGCACAAGGGATAAGAAGGAGGAAGAACATTCTTTCACTAAAGACAGTGAGCAATCTGATCATCATCCTCCACTTGTTTCTGAAGAAGATCTTTCTGTCAGCTACTCACCTTTGCACGAAGGCACACCCAGAGTTGAAGCAGAGGTATCTGTTGTCGAACTCCTACGACAAACACACAAAGATCGAGTGGAAGCAGAATTCTCAGGGAAACCAGACATGCTGACAGAGGATTCGTCTGCTGTTACACAAGAGTACTTGTAAGAATCCTACAATCTTTCAAAGATGGAATCTTAACTACAATGTCCCTTTTGTTCTCTGCATCACTTTTCATTTATGTAATAAAAATACCAAGGTTCATCATCATCTTGTCAGCAAAATAATTTTATGTATCCAGTTTATTTGAAACAAATTGGTTTCCTTTTGGTTCATAATTGGCTAAATTGTATCACATTGTGTCAGCTGGGCCATATGAATCTTCAAGGCTCCATACAAATATTAAATACAGTGGAACCTCGACTTAAGGGCATCACAACTTAAGAGAATTTTGGGTTAAGCACTGTCACTCAGCCAGGTTTTGCCTTGACATAAGAACAGCATTTTGAGTTAAGTGGGAGTGATAGCGTCAGAGGAAGCACTAGTGCAAGAGTACAAGGCTTCAAGGGAGCAGCCTCCATGCCTTGTGCTCTTGCTTGCTTTGCGAGATAGCTGTCCACTTTGCTCTTGTCCAAATTGAGGAATTTTGGGTGTGCTTTTTATTCCTGGTATGTTTGGCTTCATGAAAAGAGAAAGGGTGAGAGAGCAAGAGAGGGAGGGAGGCTGGAATGAATACAGTATGAAGAACATGATGCTTCTGCCTCTTTACTTTATGTTTTGTGCTTCCTTGCCATAACTATGCTTCCAGCAGTGTGCCACAACTTTGCGCTTCTATCATTTTAAAGTTGATTTTTACTTTTTTTATTGTTCCATGTGAATGTGCAGGTTTTGCCTTGCTGTTACACTGGCCAACACATATTTTGTTGCCTCAAATGTACTTGCTTGCCACAACTTGTGTTTCTGCCATTGTGCCACAACTTTGTGCTCCTACCATTTTAAAGTTAATTTTCTTTTTTATTGTTCCATGTGAACGTGCATTTATACATTATTTATTATTTATAAAGTACATTTTCTTATTTTAAAAGACATAAATTGGGAAGGGTGGGCACGGAACCAATTAATAGCATTTCAGTAGGAAAATTTGAGTTAGGAGTTCTATCACGGAATGAATTAAACTCTTAAGTCAAGGTATCACTGTACGAAGTATTTAGACAACTATTGTGGTTCCTCTCACAAAGTGGGCACATTGTATGCTCATTGCATTTGTTTCTTTCCTTTTTCTTGCTCTGTGGCTGTCTGGTTCAAATCCTCCAACTGCTAACATCCAAGGAGGTTGTGCCTTTTTGAAAAAGGGGTGGGAAGTGAAGTTTTCACAAAGGAAGGTTCCCATTATATACTTTGCTACTCCAATTTTAAAGGCACTTCCTTTAAAAATACTGCTTGATTCTGCTCTAGGCTGTTGGTATACACAGGTAAGAGTAGCCTGATGTAGTGGTTTGAGTATTAGATGTATGCATTGTTCACTATAAATTAGGGACAACTTGAAAGTACACAATAACAAGGTTCAAGAAAACTACATGGAAGCATGTGAATTGAAAGTAGGAATGAGAATAGGTTGTCATTTCTTAACTCCTAAGTCTGTAATAATAGCTGTATTATGTTATTTAGCCATATTGAACTTTTATCTATTGTGTAAAAACATACAGCTGATGGGATTTCAAATATTTTTTGGATTATAACTCCCATAAGTGCTAGGCAGCATAGCCAAGATGATGAAAGTTATTGTTCATCAGCATTTCTAGAAGACCATGTGTTTCTCATTTCTGCTGTAAAGGAAGAGCAAAATACATGATGTTAATTGTCTTTCCTCTTTAATTTACAGTGTCACAACTTCTGGAATAAGTCAGACACAAGCATCCATGGCTGGAAAAACAGCAAGTATTGCAAGTGAAAAGTCAGAGGGCTCCACTGCAATATCCGAGGACCTTGAAAGAACATACCTCCATACCCCAACATCAAGTGAGCGAACTGATTCACCCATTGTGCAAGAACCAGAAGACCATCACTATCATCAAGAAGATATACATCCCAGGAAAAATAGCCTAGTAATAGTAGAATCAGCTGATGAACAGCCAGAAAAATCAGAAAGATATGAAGAGGAGTTATTGGAAAAAGTAAGTCGAGCCCTTAGCTTGATGCAACATGAAGTGGACATCTTTTACCATATTTAATACACTCCTTTTCCATACTTCATACAAAAGACATGGATTATAAGTACCAGGGTTTTTCCCATCTAATTTTTAAAATGCCATTCCCAATAAAAAGCATGAGGATAAAAAGATCTGCAGTTTAGATCACAAAAGGAACAAAAATCAAATGCAGGGAAAAATAGAAATGTGACCTTTTAAAAATGAATGAAAACAAAGTAAATCTAATACCAAACCCGAATGAAGTGCTCTATAGCTAACAACCAAGATAACTCTTTGCACAAGATATCCTTTATTAGCTATCATATCATGAATAGAAGTTGAGATCCTAAAGACAAATTTAACATAAATTAAATAAGATAAATAAATAAAATGTCCAGTAATATGGATTTTGGATTTAATTATGTAGACAATATTTGAAGGATTAAAAAGGTAAAAAACAGTCTAAAACAGTACAGCATACCTAAATAAACCTTCAATTCCAAATGTTTGCCAGATTCTTTTTGCCTTCAGGTGCCAGAAGATGACAGCAGGGTGAGTGTTAGCTCCCTAAAGAATAGAGTTCTAGAGTTCAAGAGCAGGTACTGAGAAGATTTGTTCATCACCAAAAGTTTTGAATCCCCTGAACCAAATTTAATATATTGATTTTAAAAGAGTAGATAAAAATGAGTATGACCATTTTTCAAAAGTTGTAATAGGTCAAATTTCATTTGTAGAGAAATGTTTTGCCCAAATAACAATTAAGCAACTTAATCTGCACTTAAGAGCCATTTGTGTTATTTTAATTTTGCTCATACACGTTGACTGTCCCTTCTCTGAAATGCTTAGGAGCAAAAGTTTTTCATATTTCAGTTTTTTTTCAGATTTTAGAACACCTGTGTTTGCATATAAATAAGTCATTGGAGGATGTGGGAGGGGAGAAAGGGTCACCCATCCAGCACCCACTGAGTTTTCCTCAAGGAGTCCTGATAAGGAGAAAGAAAAGTGGGGGGGTTGACTCCACTTACACAAAGCCCTGTAAAATCCCAGATGTTTCCCGAGCTGTCAGCACACTTTCAGCCTTTTAGCAAAGTAAAGAGGCCAAATGATGTTCGTTCACACAATCACTATCAATATGATAAGAGCAATGCTTCCATGCTTCCAATAGGAAATAGCAGAGGAATTAGGTGAGCTGGAGGCCAGCTCAGATGAGGAAGAGATGATAACAACCAGGGTCGTTCGCCGCCGGGTGATTATTCAGGTACAGGAGTGTTGAACTACTGCACGTGCCAGTGGCAGTTATATCCTGATTAAACTTCCTAGGACCCATCTTTCCCCTAAGGACTGTTCCTGAAGCATCCCCTTGGCTGGTCCTGCATTAATGAATTTAGCATGCCCCTGAATAATGCATGTCATATGCATACCACTAGTAACCTTTTCTGGTTGTTTTGGGAAATGGAAGCTGGGGAATTCCATGGGATTGGCATCTGGTATGCTTTTTGAGACAGAATGTCCCACTGCCAACTGGGAGAACAGACATTTTGATTTGCTGCTTCAATACTACCGCCTACTAGATCAATTATTTCTTTCTTTGCCTATTGGTTCTAAGATCCTTTGCATGATTTGAAACATTTATTTGCAGAACTTTTACTAGTTTTAACATATCTGCTTCAGAGCTTTCTGATTCTCTTCTTTGTCCTCTTTCTTTACCCCACTAATGTGTTTTATGCCTTTTCTTTAAAGCAATCATTTTTGTTCTCTATTAAAATGTGTTTTTTTTAATCCAACAGGCTGATGATATGCTTGAAATGCCACCCGAAGCAGTGACAGAAGAGCAATACACTGATGAACATGGACATATTGTAGTGAAGAAGGTACTATCTAATATGGACAAGAGGTTGGCTTAAGAGAGATGATATAAACACTTTTGATAGTTGTCAATCACAGATACACTTATTTTATGTAGCATAGAAGTAAAATAAGACAAATACGCCTGACAAATATTTCAGTGTTTCCTATCATTAAGACATGGAAAACAGCTACTATGAGAATTTGACATTTATGCTCTCTACATAGTAGTTACCCCCTGCTACAGCCAAATATACTAATTTGATACTTATGTTATGCAATTACCAGTTTCTACAGCAACAAGATTTCATTATATCTATGCTGATCACATTTCTACATGTGAATACATTGCCATTGTGATGAGTTGCATTGCTATAATCCCCCTCTATTGATGGCAGTGTCAATTCAGCTCTCATTCTAAACAAAGATGGAAAAGTGTAACCTGGAATTCACACAGCCCCTGAATCCAAGTTTGTGCCCCCCCCAAACCTCCCTAGTTGTCATTTTTGAGCCAGATTTTCAACTAGACTTACCCCCCCCCCCGCAAATGAAATAACTCAAAATGCAAGAGCATGGGTTCTAAACCCCATGGCTCCCCTAGTTCTGCAGGAAATGTCATGAATTAGTTAACAGAGGTACACAACTTTGACTTCACTATGATGTATAAATGCAACTGGCAGGTCATATGAAGGCAAAAAATAATAGTTGTCCCAGCCTGTTCATTGAAAAAGAACTAAGGTAAAGGTAAAGGTTTCCCCTGACATTAAGTCTAGTTGTGTCCAAGTCTGGGTTGTGATGCTCATCTTCATTTCTAAGATGAAGAGCTGGCATTGTCCATATACACCTCCAAGGTCATGTGGCCAGCTTGACTGCATGGAGTGCCGCTACCTTCCCACAGAAGCAGTACCTATTGATCTACTCACACTTGCATATTTTCAAACTGCTAGGTTAGCAGAAGCTGGGCCGAACAGCTGGAGCTCACTCCACTCCCCAGATTCGAACCACCAACCTTTCGATCAGCAAGTTGAGCAGTGCTTATCTCACCCCTGAGGGGACTCAAAGCTGTTTCTAACATAATGACAAAATTCAATGCCATACATACATGTAAAAACCAAAGCATAATATGTAGACAATAACATCTAACTATGAATTAAAAACATTAACCATATTAATAGCCATTTTCCCTTGGCTTCTTTTCTGAAAGAAGCTGACAGTCACCACTTTGAATCTTCAGTGGTTTAATTTATCAGTCTACAGCCATTTTCAGCATAATATATTGTATCCCCAATAGTGCTTTATTGAAGGGCATATTACAATAGGTTAAATGTTAAGGTTCATAACAAGTCATCTAGATCACAATACTGTGTATGTGTGTGTGTGTGTGTGTGTGTATGTGTGTGCACGTGCACATCACTAACACGATGCCAGCCAATCAGATAGCTTTATTAACATTCCTTGGAAATTCTATACCTCAATGAACTGATTACAAATATCAAATCCTTACTTGTCTTTTGCTTCATATTATTGGGTAGAGAAATGGGTATTGTGAAGTTTCCAATCACATTCATGTTAGGTCTTTGAAACACTAAGTATGACTGCTGTGGTTTGAAACTGATGCTAACAACTACATAATTCTTGACTTCACCCGTTTAGGTCACTAGAAAAATAATCAGGCGGTTTGTCTTACCCGATGGCACAGAAAAAGAAGAAGTAGTGATGCAAGGAGAGCCACAGGAACCTGTTATAGTAGAAGAGGGAGATGGGTTTTCCAAAGTCATAAAGCGTGTCGTGTTGAAGAGTGACGGTGAACAATCAGAGGTTAGGTCACTTTGGCCTCCATACTTATTTGATGACAAATGAATTGTAAAATTTCACTTGTATCATTCCAAGAGGGTTTCTTTTCAACATTATACATACTTGCAAATATAATTATTGCAATGCCTTATATTCCATTAACAAGGATGCATGTGTTTAAAAAGAAAAAGAAAAAAAACTAAGGTTTTTGGATGAAAAATGGTCCAGTGTGGATACAATTACATATAACAGTGAGTGATAGGAAGGTGTGTAGTCAGTAGTATATGAACAGTGAGTTGCTATATTCTGTGTGCAGTAGCATGAGTAAGTTATTTCATGCACTGTAGCTTCCAATCAGCATAGTGACTAGCCGCAAAGTTTATAATCCAGTGTATGTTTTGGGTCTATTTATAAAAATGTCTGTCCGCTATCTCCAAACCTATTTGTTTCTAGGAATGGAAGAAGTAACTCTGCTAGGGAAATTTACTGGAAAAATCTGGAACATGTTTCCTTATAGGAAGCTCTCATTAATGGAGTTTCCTAGTATAATAATGGAAAAAATAGAAGAAAAATAAACAAAATATTGTTTATTTTATTTCAGTCAGTGGACTATTTTTTCCTCACACCTCTCCAGCCTGTTTGAAGTTTGCAGCTCTAACTAGGGGGACATTTGGTCATGTCTGGTCGATAGAGAACGAGCCTACACTGAAACATTTAGAGAGGGAAATACAAATTGAAAATATACTAAATACTTATATCATGTGATATTCATACTAAAACAGCAGAAATAAATTAATAAAAATTTCAACAGTCTTCCATATTTGCAATGTCTAAAACTGTTTCTATATGTGTGATGTCTAAGAACTTCATCATACGCGTACACACACATATACACCCTGCACTTTTAAAAGACAGTTTAAAGATGAATCCCACTTTATGATGAAAGTGTACTTCAGGTGGTTCCCCATGGAAATTTGTCCTTAAGCTGTTTTTAAAGTGTGTAGAAATGTAAGGTTTTGGAGTTGGGGAGCAATAATTTTCAGAGCTCCCAATTCACTCCAAAACAGCAAAAGGCATTTCTTTTAACATGGGATGAGAACTATCAGGTTCCCCTATGTTAGATTGCTTACGTGACATCAAAGTGTGGGTGTTTACTAAATGTGCATTGATGGTTAATTTCTTGCAATTAATCCTCTTTTATGGTATTTTTTAAAAAGTTAAAAAAATATGAAACGTTTACAGTAATTTTTAAAAAATAATTTCTTCTTCAGGAATTTCACAATTTTGATATATTACCAGTTTGCTGTAGCTATATTTCCCTCCTTTTTAGACCTAAATTTCAGACTTCTGCAATTTGGAGATTTCCCCCTTTGTAATTAAAAGAAAGTGATGTGGGTGGGGACTATACTCGCCCGTGTGATAGCTCAGAAATTGACAAAAGTACATCACGTGTGATGGGGTGAATATATTTTTTGTTTTCCTTATCAGTGGACCAGAATGAAACCTTACAGTAAAGAAGATGATTCCCCCACTCCCCTTCATGAGATGAGGCCTATTTCATGTTAGAATTCTGTATTATTCCTGAAGATTCAGAGCATTTTGCACAATGTGATTTTGTGGGGGGGGGGGGACCCTCTTATTTTAATTGTCTAAAATTTGTTACATTTTTATAATTTAATTGATAGTTATATGTTATGGTTGCTCTATGCTAGGTTTTATATTTATGCGAGGCATTACGTTTTGCCAAAAATATATTGGAAACCACTTTGAATCCCCCTTCTGGGGTGAGAAAAGCAGTACACAAGTAAAGTAAATAAATAAATAAATAAAGTTTATGAATGTTTTATCTTAGGTGAAAAACAACAGTTTTTCAGAATCATTTTGATTATTAGGTAAGTAATTAATGTTTTTGGGGTTTTTTTGTCTTGGGAATATTTCTTTATCAGCTGACCTTTTCCGAGCCAAGTGTTTTATCTAGTGCCTCAGAATTTCAGTCTGAACCTGTAGAAGGACGCAAAGTCAGCAAGGTTGTAAAAACTACAGTAGTTCATGGGGAGCGAATGGAGAAACACCATGGAGATAGCAGCTTAGCAAGTGATCTTCCATCCGCCAAAGATGACTTTGAAGAGGTGAGCTGCTTTTTCTCTTTCTAACAATGAAGTTTCATGCTGAAACAGCACCATGTAGATGTATATATTTAAAGAAACACATCCACATAGGAAGTACCTTATTCAAACAAATGCAGTGAAGTTAAAATTCTATTTAAAGAATCAGTATTGTCTCAACAAATCAGAACCGAGGTTCCTTTCCACACCATCACCCTTTTTTATTGGTTCATACAGTATTCTAGGATTTTGGTAGCTTGAAATAATTAAGCTATGCTTAAGTTCCTATGTACTAAGTTTTTTTTCTTGTTTTAATTCAGGCCTTGAGTTATGCAGGTAACAAAATGAAAATGGAAGTCTCCCCACTAGTAGAAAAAGAAATCATGAAAGAGGATGGTTCAATTATTAAAAGGTTTGGGTTGGCATGGCACTGAGGTTTTTTAGTGGCAAACGATTAACAAACTAACAGAACTAGCAGTAAAAGCAAAATAATGTTAATTTTGACTCCAAGGGCTCTAAGCATTGCTTGCTGACATGCTAAATGGCATGAATTAATACAGCTTGTGCAACTTGTGGAAAGATAAAAATATTGAAGTAGCAGAAGTGACAGCTGCCTTTGATAGAACTGGGATTCTATTCTGACCCAGCATTTGTAATGATAGAGTCTTAGAAAAAAAATCAAAGAATCATATACTCCTAGAACTGGAAGATACAGCTCTTTGAAGATACACCAAATCTGATCCTATAACATCCCTGGGATGTGACCAAGTAGTTTTTGCTTAAGGTCTCTAATAAATGAGAATCCACTACTTCCCAAGCAAATTTGTTCCACTTTCAAATGATCAGTAGTTGTTTCTAATGTTTAGTCTGAATTATTTTCCTTTCCATATTTTGAATCCATTCGTTTAAAACTGAAGCACTGGGGCTGCAGAGAACCATCTCTCTACTAGCCCATCAAATGTTTTAAAATGGCTTTAATGTATATACCTCTTGTATATCTCCCTTCAGGTTAGATATATCAAAACCCTTCAGACTTCCCTCATTGGACTTTGACTCCAGATTCCTTGACAGTTTTATGTGGTATAGGCATAAGATTACATTCTTGTACTCCAGATATATTATACTGCAAGAGCCAGTGTGCTACATCGGTTTAGTGCTGGACTAGACCAGAGTTTGACCTGAAAGTTCATAACAACAACAAATACCACTGCTGTTTTGGAATGTATAGTCACAAGTACACACAGTCACCCAGGAAAGAGTGGGTAACATCCACTTGGTGACATTCTGTACTTACCCTGAAAATTGGTTCAAAACAGTTTTCAGAGTGTGTCAACAGAAGTAGTATCTCTAGCTTAATGACAGTTTTGAGGTTACATAATTGAAAACGTCTTTCAAGATGTTCCTTGAAAACATTCAATTAAAAAGACCATACATGATTTAGTGGCTTGTAGCTCTGTTAAATTGTTCTGATGGATAGAAAATGTATCCCAATATTCAGCCTGATTCTCTAGTTTGTACTTATATGTACAGTGTAATTATATTTCCATAGCACGTAACTGTTCAGGGGTGGACTGGCTTGTCCTTTTGTACTCAGTTTTAGACATTTGAAATATCTCCCATTTTGTCCTCTAAAGGCTAAATATATTGATTATGTTGTTATGCTGTGCCCTCAAGTCTTTTTTGACTTATGGTGACCTAAGGTGAACCTATTGAGGTGAAGGGTTCCTTTGTCTTCATCTGAAGCTAAAAAAACAGCAAGACATTCCCTAGATCACCCAGTCAGTGTCATATAACTCAGGTGGGATTCAGGTCCAGAGTCATAGTCCAGTGCTAAAACCACTATACCACACGGATTCTCTCCCCTTTAAAGAGTCTAAATTAAATGTTAACCACTGTTACCCTACACTGCCTACCTAGCTACAAATGTATAAGTAAGTCATATTTTTGGCCAAATCTCCATTCCAACCTGCCTTAACAACCAGCAGCCATGCAAAGCAGTGGAGAATTGTTCAGCTGATGATTGAGGAATGGCATTCCCAGCACCCTTCTTCCAGTTAGTTTGTTTTTGACTCAGCAAGTCTATTTTCCATATTCTGGATAATAATAGTATGCTAGCTGTGACTGCATTCCTGACCTTTTTAAAATAATAAACAAGGCTACAGTGTTAATAATAAAAAGAGGAAAGTAGAAAGTAGTACCTTAACATTTCTCCCTGATTATTATTGTCTAAATCCAACCTGGTATTGCCACTTTCTTACTTCTCCACTCCCTCTTATAACTCTCAGAGCAGCCTGCATCTGACTCTAAGGTGTCATCATCCCTCTTGGGGTGAATTGCTCCTTCTCAACTGGATTCTATTATCCCCGCCCCCCCCCCCCTCCAGCCAATTCCACAGTTGAATCCTGCCTTAGTTTTTCTTACAAAGCTCAAGGACTGCTGCTATGTTCCTCTTGTGTGTGATGAGTGACGCTGTTTTGGCTGCCTAAGCAAATGCACTCAATGACCACATGTAAGAAAGAAGGAACTCTGAAGCTTTTGATAATATATCGGCAGAAATAACAAATATTATTTCAATTGTGATGGGTTAAATCTTGTTATATGTAATGAGGAACAAACTTACATAATTCCTTAAATAAGCCTGACATTTTCCCCCAAGTAAACAAACCTTATGTGTAGGCAGTAAGAAAGGTCAGGTGTTATTGTGCTGTCTTCAAGGACAGTGCAGAACATAATGCCATTTTCATACCTCACTGCTTCAAAAATTGAAACCACCTACTATATAACATTTAGTAGACATCTCATTTTTCACTATCTTATTTTCAGATGTATTGTCATATTTATGAAAGCTGATTCAAAAGAATTACAAAACATTACCTGTCTTTCAAAAGTGCATCCATCTAGTTGCTGAATAGTACAGAAGGACTATTGGATCATATTCACTTGAGATGGTCAAACATAGACCAAGAATGCATATTGTTGGATATAGATCTTTTTTGTTCCAAATACATAAGACATCTAGTTGCATATGTTTGTTGCAAACCTGTTAGTGAAAGCAAGCATTCTACTTAGAACACCCCAATTGATTTGCCATTTTTGAAAGTATTTAATCATATTATTTTACTACATTCATTCACCTTCCATCTTCCTTCCATCTTGGAAGTTAACCTGCCATTTTTGTGACATTCATATAATTCCCTCTTCAGGCACTCACCAGCCTCAGATCTATGTAGTTTCGAAATGTTTGTTGTCTTTATGTTGTGCCTTGGGATGAATAACAGGGGTAGGCTGGAATTTCGTTGGTGACATAAAATGTTTTGGAAACACAGTGGAAGGAGGTAGCCAATGTCGCTTTTGGACACTGCCTCTGTCCTCCAACATAAGGCCATTTCCCAACATCAGAGTTTCTCTCCCCCCCCCCCAAATGCATTTTGTAGCTAGGTAAAGACAGATGAAGGACATTTAGCTGCTGAAGAGAATGGTCAACAACTTTCCAGATCTCTGGAGTATAATAGTGTACTTGCTAAAGATCCAGTCGCTTTCTTTTCTGGTTGTGGAATATCAGCCAGATACTATCCAGGTGAACCTTTCACCTCCAGGACCACTAAATGGCTATGATGATGAGCTTGAGTGCTACTGTCTTGCAGGGGTATAAGTGGTAGCCTGGGAAACTGTATAGGTGGGACACCAGTCTAAGATATCAACCGTAGTAGCTACATTTAATGTTAATTTGTGAATTTTGGAGTTAGCATAGTAATATTGCAAAACTTTTTTCTTGTATTGGAATTAACTGATTATTTTGCATTGTATAACTTTTTCTTAAACACATACAGTACGTATGGTATCTGTCCTTTCCTAACACCTTTACTTTTTAAGAAAAATCTGATTGTGTGCTATTGGCAAGGATGTATTTTTTATTAAGGATGGCATTGCAATATTTATCAGTTACCATCATGCTTCATGTAGTATTATATATATATATATACTTTGCATTGCTTTCACAGATTCTCATACTGTGTGCATGTAAGCATGTCTTTTTCACAGAATTTTGAAAATGCAGTGCCAAAATCCTGCTGAGAACCTGCATGTTCATAAGTTGACTTGCATCTGTGGACATTAGAGTGAAACAATTACTTCCTAGTGTCTCTGTTACATAGGTACTCGTGCATATATCTAAAAAATTTAATCATAAAACTATCCCAAAAGACCCGAGTTCTCTTATACACAAGTCAACGTCAATACTGTATCTTAACTTTAACAAAAAAGGTGAAAAGTGAGAGCTTAGTCACTCCCAGAAGAACTTAAAAGAAATATAGACCACTCAACTATCTCCATTGCAGTGCTGCTACTGGGCTTTTTGGATTGTGTCATCATTGACAGCAAAAGTGGTTGGTTTCTTGAAGTGAAAGTGGTGTTCCCAACTTTTATATTTTTATATGAGCCTCAATTTATCCATGGGTCATAAAATCCATAATTTTGCCCCCTCCAAACTGTCTTTGATTTATACATGAGGTCAATTTATACATGAGTGAATAAAGTCATTATATGATATGTTATGTTATCAGGCCATATGTTTTGGAAAACCATTATCACATTGATAAATGGTATGATTAAAAAAGAGTCAAATCACAGATAACAGCTGTATCCTGAGTATAAAGAGAAACATTGCATTTATACATTGCAGGTTGCATTGAAACTTAGCAGTACATTGTGTGTTCCACTCTGGGAAAAAGTGTCATATAAATACTAGAGGTGTGCACAACTCAAAAAAACCATTTTGTTTGTCTTTACAAAATTTGTGCGACCCCTATGTTGATTATAAAGTGTTTTGGGCAATTCCTGAGGGGTCTGGGTCATATCTATTTTTTTTCTTTCCGTTATTAAAAAAACCTGAAGGAGTTAAGCTATACCTGGTGGAAGAGGACTCCCCACAGGGCTTGGGGCAGCTCTTCTCCCTCTGCTGCCCAGCTTTACGTGAGCAGGTTGTACTCTGCACTGGGCCTGGGAAGAGCCACGGGCCTAAAGGGGAAGGAGGCCTCTGGTGCAAGAGTTTCCAATCCTGCGTAAGAGCTGCCTCTCGCTCATGGCATGCCATGCACCTGGGAAGCCTGCACAGGCCCGCTTCTCCCTCAGGGAGAGAAGTTAGGGCAGGACCTGCTTGCAGCCCTCACTGGGGCCCCTTTCCCATCCAGATGAATGGGTCATTGTGAGGAAGAGGCCAATGGAGAGTGGGGAGAGGGAGAGCATCCCTGTCACCTCTGCCATGAGAGCACAAGGAGAGAGGGAAGGACATATAAAAACAAATGAATTTCTTTACAGAAACTCAGAGATGGGTGTTTAGATTAATTTCTGTTTGGGGGGGGGGTGGCTCTGAGGGTTGTAAATTGGATCGTATGTACAGATTTAATGAAACACTTACAATGTACGACCTTGCAATTTTTTGCACAGCCCTTAAATAAACAAATAAAAATACTTAGAGCAAGCTATTTAAGATAACTAAGTCTAGATGCTATTATCCATCTTTCCATGGAGTGTGTTGAAATACAGTTGCACTAGTATTTAGTACTGCTTGATAATGTAGCCTGCTTTAATAACACAACCTCATGTATAAGCCAAAGGCAGGAGATCAAATTGTGTGTGTTTTCTCACCTTACACTTCCTCCATTATGTGGACTCATTTAGGTAGCAATTTTTTGTGTGCAATAAAATGGGAAAATATAATAAAATTAAAGTGATTTAAAAATGGATCTCTAAGGTACTCAAAAATTTCCCTAATGGTTTTCTGGCTCTCTGCTGGAGTCAGCTGCAGCCATTCTTAGCTCAAAACACATGCCAGAATTTCAAACAGTATCCTACTTGGGAAACACTACATTCATTCTACTTTTACCTTTCCAATTTCCTGTAGGACAACAATGAGTAAAGCCAGTACACAAAAGAGGACTGTGGTTAAGGACCAGTATGGAAATCGTATTCACGTGGAGTTGCTGGAGGATACACCAGAAGCGCTACCCCGTGATGACCTTCAGCATGATCTTCAGCAATTGCTAAAACATTTCTGCAAAGATGAGTGGAAGAAAGAGGCCAAATGAGATGCTGCTAAATCTCACCCACAGACCAACACACATATCCATTTAATATACAGTGTTCGCAATTCTTCTTTTGCTATAGACATTATAATTTACCATAATCACTGGAGGACACTGACATTTCTATTTTGGGCGTATAGCATAGGTCTTTTTTCTCAATTTTTCTTCTGTTACAATATCTGTAAGCTAATTTGTGACCAAAGATAGCATCCTTCACTTGGGATGGTTTGTCCACTAAAAGTCACTGACTTTGTGCTGTACTGGAAACCTGATATATTTGCCATCTTTGTTCTTCCTTTGCTTTTGCATCAGATCCATAAACACACAGTTTCTTCCACAGGCCTCTTCATGTGACAATGTACATGCAATTTTTAAAGAGGGACATTAACGTTAATCTGTAAATAGCTGAAGTGCTTGGACTCACAAAACTGAAAGAAAGAAACACTGCCTATTGTGACTACTTTTAGCATCAAAGACTCCAAGATCTATTGAAACTGTTGAAGAGCAATTCATGTAATATTGCTAACACAATCCATTGATAGGACTTGGATCTCCTGACAAGGAAGCATGTCAGATCTCATGTGTTCATAGGACTTCCAGCTTAATGATCTACATGACCTTGGAAGATTTTAGGAGTCATGATGAAACCTCCATTTCCCTTTAAACGCAGCTGATTGCAACCATCACAGCTTTTCTGACTCTGGGGAGGCATCTAAAGATTTCCTGAAGAAGAAATAAATTCCCAGCTCAATATAGCTTACTAGCAGCTATATTTGTACCACATTTGCATACTGTATTCACCTCTTATAGATCAGGACTTGAGGCAGGGCGCATTAAACTGCTCTGATTACTGTAGTTTCCTGTTTTCATCACTGCTTTAGCAAAACCACACTGTCTTATTGGTGGTTCTTTCCGCTGGCCACTGCACTGTATATAACTTGACAGGGAGGGAAAAGAAACCCTTATCAACTCTTCAAGGTTATTCTACAGTTATCACATTCTATCAGGACTGTCTATTAACCTGGTACATGCATGTGGCGTAGGAAAATGAAAACACAACCCTCCTGTGATCATGTCAAACGCTTCTAATCTCTCTCAGCACTGAGCGAGCAGATTTTTATCTTCCATTTGAGATTCTTTTTATTTGAGATTTTGCTTAGGGAAGGATACAAATCTATCGGGCATTTGATTTTTGTTGATGTTTTATTTATATTCACTACTCACCTTTGAAGAATCATGCTGTAAATGTCTGCACTTTGGTTTTCCAAGAAGGGCACCTGTTGCTCTGGAAATATTCTGTGGTCTGTATCTAATTCTAATAGTGGTCTGAAGCTCTGTAGCATTTTAACATATATATGTAATTATATATATTATATATACATATAAAATGATATACATTTTGAATCAGTTATTTGATAAAGACAAAGTATATACAACAATGATGAGACACGTCCTCCAGGGTTGATATTTTTCAAAACCTAGCTAGGCTTTCTTTTCTTGTATAAAAAAAATATGACTCACTCAGTGCTCAGAATTCTGGAAATAAATGTGACAAATGGCACCTCCTCATTAAGATAACCATGCTGAGAGAAAGGAAACTTTTTATTGAAGAGGATTTGGTTTCCTGCTTAAGAAGCTATCCAAAGTGCTATGCCAAATATTTAAAAATCGTTGGCAAGCAGGCTGCAAACAATCATCGTGACTCTGAAAACGAAAAGAGACCCACTTCAGGATACACAATAGCTCATTGTTCATTGTCAAGAACATCACTGGTTGACCTTCAAGACGGGCTCTACAAGAAATGCATTTCTGTTGTGTTATTTGCGGTGCAGATGATGTTCTGTGTAACAGCATAATGGCTATTCTCCTTTTTTGGTTTTGATTTTTTGCTGTGTTATCAGAGAACTTGAATACTGTGAGAAGGTGATTTTAAGTTGATGAATCGACATCTTGTTCCCATGGTGATAACACTAACTGAATATATCTATGAGGGCATGTATTAGTTAAAAGATTTTAAAAAACAAAACAAAACAACAACACTAACAATACATAGCTGCAATGTGTACAATGGCTGATTTAATTAAATAAAAATGTACAAGTGTTAAATGTAGCAGTAATGGTATGCTTTTTTTCTTGGAATCACTTTAGCAAGAGGAAATTAAATGAGTAATTCAGTAACAAAAAAAAATCCAGTTTTGACAATGTCTACATCAGTTGACCTCAACCAGGTTTCTTTCACATTTTAGAACTATAATTCCCATCACCCAAGATGCTGTGACGAAAAGAATTATAAAGATCTTGGAGTTGAAATCCAAAACATCTAGAACAATGGATCCCAAACCATTTTGGTCACAGAACCCGTCAGAAGACCCCCTCCCCCCCATGGTACCCTAACTATCCCTGATTTTCCTTTCGAACCCTAACTCTGTCACTAAGCTTTGTGAACCCTCTTCTTTCACCTACTCCAAGTGCCCAGTTGATTTGTACAATGTAGTAGGTTTGGAAATAGAGATTAAAATTTCATTTTAAAGCAGGACTATATTGAATTTCCATAAGATCTTCATACTCTGATATGGAATTTTGAAAAGGTTTTAAAAGATTTTTTTTATGGAATCCCTATGATGCTTTTGTGGACCCTTAGATTTCAACTGAACACAATTTGGGAACCGATGATCCAGAGAACTTCATGTTCGGAAGATTGCTCCATGTCGTAATTAATTCTGCACTGAACAATTTAATAATTGGCACTTACATTATGTTTTTAGTCTATGAAGAAATAGTATGTGATGGTAAGTGTTACCTTCTTGAAAGCAATTGCTGTGTACTTATACATTACATACACATGTCACCTCTATTTCAGAATCTGTTTGGTTGTGAGTCAACTATTCATAAGCTTATTTACTTAAGATGGAGACTCTACTTGACTAGCACCTGAGATCTGCATGCATTCCTTTTTCAAGGAATGTTCTCACACACACTCATCTGTTATCTGTGTCCATGTTTTGTTGTGGGAGATTTTAATCAAGTTCCCATGGCTGCATATGCGAGCAGCTGAAAATGCAGGCTTCCTTTTAAGAAGCTAATTGTCTAGAAATTCTTTTTTGGGTCTCTTTTAACTATGTTACAACCCCCTGATCCATGGATTTGATACTCAGTTTCACTTATCCATGCTCCAAAAAAGTATTTCCCCTGAAAGTGTTTGTGGGCCTGTCAATGTCCTTTAGTGTGATTCGTTGATATGTTTCAGCTCAAATATAGTCAAAATATAGGGCTTACTATTATCCATGGTTTCAGATATCCACAGTGGGTCTTTGAATGAACATATTCCCTGTTAATATAGGTGTCATTTTGTATATCAGCACAAACTCCTACTTGGGAGAGAGACAGATATTGCTGAACATGAAGAAAACATGGCAAAAACTAAAGGATCATTTCAAAAACCAAAAATATAAGATTACGTGTTTCCAGTTCTTCAAGATCATTTTTGTATATGTTCTGCATTTTTTCATGGCTCTCATGCTTTCCCTCTGAGCCATAAAGGAATTCCTTAAATTAGAGATACAAAGGAATAAATTCTGTTGACCAGTCTCAACCAGAGGAGACCCAATGAATCTATAGCTGAATGACAACAATGAATTCAGTGGGTTTTCTCTATTTGGGACAAACAGTAGAATTTTGACCTATTATTAATGTTGAAATATGGGCTAAATCACTACATGGGCAATTTAGCTGTGATATTTTATTTATTTAGAACTTTTGTATCCTGTTCTTCTCTACCTTTGTGGCGGGACTCAGAATGACTAACAGCAAAGATTAAATGCTATACATTACGATAAATACCATAATAAAACAACATGGGACTCTCCACACCAACGAAGTTGGTGGGGGGAGCGATTTGCCCCTCCCCCCTGAAGGGAGAGAAATGAGAGGTTCCTATGGAACCTCCTGGAAGGAGGGCGGAGGCTGGATGAGCTCTCGAGCCAGCCTCCTCCCTCAGTCTTTGAAGACTTGCTACCCACCACACCCGCCCATTGACAGTATAACTTTCGGTTGCCTGTTGGAGCCGGGTAGGAATTTTTTGCCCCTCATGTTCTGGGGGTTTTTTCGCCTACCCTATACTGTTATTAGGGGCTAGCTGGGGTGGTCCGGTTTAATTAGGCTAGCATAAATAGCTCAGGAAAGCACAGACATGGAGGTATACGCAAGGCACCCCTTAAGGGTGGGGCTCATTGTGCAACAAACACTCACCTAGAGGTCAGCAAATGGGTGAGGGGACATCACTTGGCACAGAAATAAGAGAGGCTGATATCAATAATCTGAGACAGGCTTCTCCAGACTTTTACCTTCAGGTTGCCCAGTTGGGGATCCAGGGCACACAGATATTACACACTAAATAGCCGAGTACGCTGCCTCGGTTAGCCACCAAGTTCCTAGACACATAGTTTAGTTCAGTTAAAGTTTAAATAGGTAACAATTAATAAAGTTGCCCAAATTTGAATCCATACCATTGTTGTCTGTCTCATTATTTCAGGGGTTAAGGGGCAAACAACTGCGTTCCCTGATTTCTCTCTGAAAATCCTATCCCAGTTATATTTTACTCTGTTCACGTCAGCATATTTTCAATTTTAATCTATTACATTTGGCCCGTCCATTTTTAAAATGTTTATATGTCACTATTGTTTATTATTTTTGTTCATGTGATTTATATGATTTGTATTTTATTGATTGTTTTATTGATATTGTGTTTATTGATGTTTTGGTTGATGTATTTTTGGCTTGGCCTCATGTAAGCCGCACCGAGTCCCTTGGGGAGATGGTAGCGGGGTACAAATAAAGATTGTTGTTATTATTATTGTTATTATTATTATTATTACTATTACTATTACTACAATAAATAAGTTCTAAAATGCATATAAAAACAGTTCATCAAGTTAAAAACATCATCCAAGTCATCATCAAACTCAATACAGTTGTTACTGTCAATTACCACTTAAACTGTATTGGGTCATCCATCAATCTTCGAATGCCTGATTCCACATCCAGGATTCTAACTGCTTCCTGAAAGACAGGAGAGAGGGGGCAGACCTAATCTCACCAGGGAGGGAGTTCCATAGCCGTGGGGCCACCACAGAGAAGGCCCTGTTGTAGTCATGTTCTGTCTCTTGTACTGACTCCCTAAAATTCAGAAGCCAGGCAGCTTTTGGATTATATCTGCCATACTTAATTTTGTATAAGAAAAGTAATTAAAGTAGCAACCAGTTATGCATTAAAGGCAATAAGTAGTGAAACTCTCAGAGTGAATAATGGACTGATAAGACCAATGGGCTGACTCCATAAAAGGGACACTTCATATTTTCCTGTAAAAAATAGGCTAGAATTTACTACTACTATTGTGAACATGGAACCTAAACTCTGGAACAGATTACCGCCCACTGACAAGAGAGCCACTAATTACTACTGTGTCAAGGGTTTTCAACCTACTCTTATATAGCATGGAAATCATGCTGATGGTCAAGTGGATCTTGCAGTTTCATTCCATGGTTTTCATTTGACAAACAGGTCATAGATCCATTGTCTCATGTTAGGCCAGGCCTTTATAGATGTAGTTAATAAAGTTGTGGCCTCATTTTACCCAATCACTACGTATCAAGCATTTGCTCTTTCTCACCCCTGCCTAACTCTCAAGGCAGGCAGACAAAATCCATAAATGCAGGTCATTTTCTCCAAGAAATATTAGGTGTCTTCCTACCCCTGCCCAGACAAACCCCTGCTCACCACCCAGCCAGAGGATTATTTTGTATAAAGTTTCTGAAGATTTTAGCAAATATCAGGAGCCCCTGGTGGTGCAATGGGTTCAACCATTGTGCCAGCAGGGCTGCTGACTGAAAGGTCAGTGGTTTGAATCTGGGGAGTGAGATGAGCTCCTGTCTGTCAGTTCCAGCTTCTCATGCAGGGACATGAGAGAAGCCTCCCACAAGATGGTAAAACATCCAGCCGTCCCCTGGGCAACACCCTTGCAGATGAACAATTCTCTCACTTCAGAAGTGACTTACAGTTTCTTAAGTTGCTCCAGACACAGAAAAAAAGCAAATATCAATTTCCTTCTTTTTTATCATATGACCACAGGAGGGCAGCAAATAATAATTTCCCAGAAGCAAATCTTTTGAATCAGCAGTGACTAAATCCTCTGCATACTGATGAATTCTCACACCACCCTTTTATCTTAAAATGTAATTGTTATTTTAGATGACACGTTCAGTCAATGTGCTTCTATTTTCAACTAGAAGTGTAATTTGCCTAGCACTCAGCATGAGATGACCCAATACTGCTGTCAATTTGTGCTCATTCAGAGTGGCATGGTTATCAGATCTCATCCCAGATATTTGCCAAAATTGCTACTCAGACTAATAGTTCCATTACCTATTTGAGAAATGGATGTAAAACCACAAATTGTCAGCTTAATATATACAAGAACCTGGGGCATTGCAGTCCTTTGTCCTACCATGTCAGCAAATAATAACTTTTTTTTTCCTTTTGAAACAAAAGCAAAATATGACTTGGATTCTAAGTTAAACTGTGCAGAGAAAATTCACAGGAAGACATGTATCCCTTCTTCTGCCACTACAGTCTGTATCTAGAGCAATGTTTCTCAACCTTCCTAATTTTTTTTTTGTCGTGTCAGGAGCAAGTCGCTTCTGTTGTGAGAGAATTGGCGTCTGCAAGGACGTTGCCCAGGGAATGCCTGGATGATTTGATGTTTTTTTTTATCATCCTTGTGGGGGAGGCTTCTCTTATGTCCCCGCATGAGGAGCTGGAACTGATAGAGGGAGCTCATCTGCCTCTCCCCAGATTCGAACCTGCGACCTGTCAGTCTTCAGTCCTGCTGGCACAGGGGTTTAACCCACTGCGCCACCGGGGGCTGCCTAACCTTCCTAATGCCGTGACTCCTTAATACAGTTCCTCATGTTGTGGTGACCCCCAACTATAACACTATTTTTGCTACTACTTCATAACTGTAATTTTTGCTACTGTGATCAATCATAGTGCAAAAATCTGATATGCGGGATCAGATGGACCACATTTGGCACAAATACCCAATGCACCCAAATT